AAGTTCATTTTTTTCCAATAATGAACTGAATTTCACAAAGCTAGATAACTGGTTTTCATTTCATTATCTAGTTCACGATATTTTTTAGACTTGTATTTCAAATTGAAAACTTATTGTCTTCAGGACAACGTGAACCGCAAGATAGTAATGGAGCTGCTGATCGACCACGCGCTCAAGAACACGAGTCGCCAGTTCGTGTTCCTCACGCCGCAGGACGCTTCAGCCGTAGTCGCGGGCCCGCAGATCAGCATACACCTGTGAGTATAGTCCGGTCGCCGAGCACGTAGAATTTCGTTCAATGACCCCAAGCCTTATCGCTCGCGTGTAATTATATCGCTGTTGCGACGGGCGGCCGCAGCGAGTGTGCGAGCGCGGCAGCAACATAATTACGCGCGAGCGATAAGGATGGGTAACTTGGGGTCATTGAACGAAATTCTACGTGCTCGGAGACCGGGCTTTAGACTGTTTCATTATCATCATCTCAGCCATAGGACGTCCACTGTTGAACATAGGCCTCCCCCAATGCTATCCATGTTGTCCGGTTGGTAGCTTCCTGCGTCCGGCGCCCAGACTGTTTACTTACTTTTATAGGCTCAGGTCGTTACCACAGGTCACAAATTAATGTGCGATAGCTCAACGGTAAAGCTGGCCGACTTGAGATCCGAGGAAAGCTGGTTCGAACCCCGCCGCCGCTGTGAACCCACTCGTAAAGTATAGACTAGCTAGAGCATTTACTTGTAACAGAACAACGAGCCACTCTATGATATATTCTAGTGTATCACCCTTTAACGAACCAAACGTACTTTGGAAATTAGTAAAACCGCCGCCGCGCCATCAAAGCATAATTTGGCCCGTGGCGCGGCAGCGGTGTTCACGCGGCGCGTATAAACAGTGCAAAGGCGCGGCGACGGCGTCGTGTGCAGGAGCGCTAAAAGCTCAATAATTTCCAAAGTACATTTGGTTCGTTAAAGGGTGATACACTAACTAGAACATATCATAGAGTGGCTCGTTGTTCTGTTACAAGTAAATGCTCTAGCTAGGAGCGCTTACCTGTATTATACCAATCCTAAGAATGTTAAGTTTACATAAAAATGTTCTAGTGTATATCCACCTTAACAGAATCATATTTAGCTTCATGAGGGGTTAACGGGACTATTAGTAATCTATTAGAACCTGAGTTGGTACATATCGCCCCCAAAAGATACTGCACAAGCTAATCAATGCAGAACTCGAAGGCGTAGAATATAGCGGCGATTACAATAAAGCCATACTGATCGCAGTGATACTACTAGTATATACTAGGACTCCATTGATCTAGAACAAAATAAAGAAATAAAACAGGTCACAAATTAATGTTCCTTTCTTTTTACAGGATGGCTGACCCACGACCGTAGTGCCGAAAAGGTTAAGTAAACAGTTCAGTGATTTTTAATANTAGTAATGAAGGAGGGTCTTAATAACGCACAGACATCTTAGTAACCCAAAGACATCTTAGTAACGTAGACATTTCAGTAACATCAGCCATACAATATATGGACATCAGCCAGATAGTTTTGACAGTTCCAACTTGCCAGACAGTTTTTTTAGGATAGCTGCCAAAGCCACGATGACTCAAACTTCATGATTCACCAACATTTTATCCTATATTGGGAGCATACGCTGACAAACTTTCAGCTTTTGTAAAATGACGTTAGGTCTGGCGTTCACCAGCTCTTGGTCTACATGTAATGTAACGTTCTTACAAATGGTACAATATAGCTAAATGTACGACGTTTGTTTCGAGAAAGGGTAAACACTAGAACATATTTTAGAGCAGCTCGTTGTTCTGTTACAAGTAAATGCTCTAGTATATACTCACGCAGATACACCTGAGAAAGAGACATTTCAGTAACACACATTTTATGTTCGTAGGTTCATACCTGAAAGTGAAGGATAAAAAGTGGGGGGGTGTTTTGGAACACATCATCGGAGGTTCGCTGACGTCATTCTGCGTCAACTCCCCGGAGGACTCCAGGAAGCTATTCGAGATAATGGGCCAAGTAAGTTTTTCTTCATTCATCTATCTATAACATAAACGACATAAACCATGTCACAAGTTGTTTGAAAGAGAACACGGTTGTTTGCTTTTGATGATTCAATAAAATATGCCTTCCTTCCTCTGGGCTTAAGATGTGCTAGCTCAAGTTTAAGCTGCGCTTGCGCATCGTAAGTCTGCAATCTGTGAGAACATACAGGGTGGAAACGTTAACTGATCTCACTCGATTATTTCTAAACTATACAAGATATCGAAAAACTGGTTATTGATCCTGAAAGTGCTTTACGAGCTCTTTCAAACGATATCAGTAATAGGTTATAGAATTAACTGGATCTATCCGAAAATTCAATGTTTTCAGCCTCCATTCTAAATGTATGCCACTATGCCAGTCACACAATATTAGAAGTGTTATTTTTTTTATTTTAAATAATAAACACTTAAAATTAATTTGTAAATTGCATTCTAATTAATTATTCATGGAAAACATTGGTTTTAGGCTTTACTTGCTATAATAATTATCAAGACATGAGTGCCATGATTGTGGCAGTATTAAATGTATGGAAGCTGAAAACATTGAATTTTCGAATAGATCCAGTTTATTTTATAACTTATTATTGGTACCGTTGGATAGAGTTCGTGAAGCACTTTCAGGATCAGTTACCAGTTTTTGGATATCTTGTATAGTTTTTAATATTATGTGGTTTTAATAAATGTATGGAGGCTGGAAACATTGAATTTTCAGATAGATCCAATTTATTGTGTAACCTATTATTGGTACTGTTGGATAGAGCTCATGAAGCACTTTTAGGATCAGTAATCAGTTTTTGGATATCTTGTATAGTTTAGAAATAATCGAGTGAGATCACTTATCGTTTCCACCCTGTATAGTGGCGTATTTTTTGTTCTATTCATCTAATTTGTATTAAAAATAGTTAAATTCTCACGGGCCACATTTTTGCTGTCACTTCGACCGCGTGTGTGATACTGACACGACCGATTTTGCTGGAACTATATAATAATATGGCTAGGGATATGGTCTCCTATCAAATGTAATACGCGGCTGAGGCTTACGAAAGGCGTCAAACGTTTCTGTCGACGTCCATAGTATCAATATGCCTATGTCAACTTCTTGAACTTGAAGGAAATTACAACAGTACATTTTTATAGTAAGCATTGTGCCCTACGGCGTTTATAGGAGACCAAATCCTTACTTCATGACGTGTCAGTATTATTGGTACTGACGGAGTTATCATGTTAGGTGTACGGTCGCGCGGGCAAGCCGGCGGTGACATCTAGCAAGTTTCTACCGCGAGCGCACGATGTAAGACGACATAAGGTGCGCGCGGCGGGCTTCACGTGCGCTTTGGACGCGCTCGACGCGCCCGACCCTGTCATCGCCAATTATCTCATTGATAATGTTGGTTTGGAAAGCGTGCTGCTGGTGCCTAGTCATGGTAAGTTTATTTATGTCACTTATGGTTAAGGTAGGAATCTACGGAGACGCCCTATAAGTGTACGGTCGCTCGGGCAAGCCGGCGGTAACGTCTAGCACACTGGTTCCCAAAGTGAGGTGCGCCCCCCAGGGAAGGAAGACCTTTAAAGGGAGGCGCGGGCCATCTGTTTACTTAAGTATAAAAAACCTGTGACCGCTGAGAGAATGCATTCCAGACTGCTCGATACGACCAATAAATAATCTTGACTGGAGGAGGGAGGGGCGCGCAAATTTCTGTATGGTCGAAAGGGGGCGCGTCTCAAATAAGTTTGGGAACCAGTGGTCTAGCAAGTTTCTACCGCGTGCGCACGATGTAAGAAGACATAAGGTGCGCGCGGCGGGCTTCACGTGCGCTTTGGACGCGCTCGACGCGCCCGACCCCGTCATCGCCAACTACCTCATTGATAATGTTGGTCTGGAGAGCGTGCTGCTGGTGCCTAGTCATGGTGAGTTTGTTGTATATTATCTATGGTCAGGGTAATAACCGACGCAGGTGTACGGTCGCTCAGGCAAGCCGGCGGTGACGTCTAGCACAGGGTTTCCACCCAAACTATGGGTCGCGACCCAGTGGTGGGTCGCGAGTGAACATTGAGTGGGCCCTGCCTGTAGAACGACACACCACCCTACCGATCCAACCGCTGGGCAGCAGGCGAAACCTATACTAGGTGGGTCCAGCCCGAGTTTGGGAACTTGTATTAGATGAGTCGTAGCCCAGACAACTTTGGTAACCACTGGTCTAGCCAGTTCCTACCGCGTGCGCACGATGTAAGACGACATAAGGTGCGCGCGGCGGGCTTCACGTGCGCTTTGGACGCGCTCGACGCGCCCGACCCCGTCATCGCCAACTACCTCATTGATAATGTTGGTCTGGAGAGCGTGCTGCTGGTGCCTAGTCATGGTGAGTTTGTTTTTTACATCTATTAAAAAGGTTGTCAAGGATCAAGGGACTTTTTTTATGCAAAAAAGCCCACCTCTTGGTTGCGGAGCCCTATTTTTACGATCGGAGCCTCTAAACAAGTGTGACACCCCTAGGCAGTTGCTTCCTCTGCCAAATAATGAATCCAATCCTGCTTATGCTTTCATGAAGAATTTCATGGAATTGTATATTGATAAAGAATTGGGTTTGCCTATTTAAAAAAAATGAACATGTGAAGAGGTGCTTCATGTCATGATGTCCTTATTTTAAGACGTGTAAAACCGGTGACCGGTCGTAGTGGAAATCTTTGTGGGAAGATTTTGTACAGCAGTGTTGGGCATTTGGCTGAGACGAATGCCATTTTTTAGAGTTTTAAAGTATGTCCTTATTTAAAAATATGTTGATGTGCAGATGTGCTTCACGTCATAAAGCGATGGCCTTATTTTCTGACCGGTTGTTTTAAAAATCTTTGAAAGAGACTTTAATCCAGCTCTAAACTGCTACTGGTTGAGACAAAAGCCACTTTTTAAAGACTTACAAGTATACCTCTCCTTCAGAGGACGCGGTCCGTCTCTCCGACACGGTGGAGAACGTTCCGGAGAACTGCGCACGTGTCGTGACGCTAGAATGCGGCGAATACTACCCGGCGCCCAACTACCGCTGCTACGGCGGCACGGCGCGACCCACGCGATACCTGCAAGTCAGCACGGCCGAACGCAAGAGGTTAGTGAACAATGCGTTTAAAATAACTTGAAAAATTCGAACTGTTTAAGATGGGAATCGAACCCACTTTTATAAAAATATTTAGATCGAGAGGCGACTCTTAACGCCTGAATTTTTTAAATAATTTAGTGAAGAATGTTATACAGCTTACTAGCTGTGCCCACGACTTCGTACGCGTAAAAATTGTTTGAATACGTATTTTGCAACATTTTTCTTTACTGCTCCGCCTCTATTGAGTGTAAAGTGATGTTATATAGCCTTAAGTCTTCCTCAATAAATGAGTTATCGAACACAACAATATTTTTTCAATTTGGACTAGTAGTTCCTGAGATTAGCGCGTTCAAACGAACAAACTTTTCAGCTTTATAATATTAGTATAGATTCGCCAAATACAACTCGTATCTAGCGCAGCGTCTTAGAACCGTTACAATGGTAGCCTCCAATTTGATGCAATGCTAGCAGTACGTTCTATTCGACTGTATGCTACTGTGACGGTGTAATACAACTTTAACCTTAAAGCGCGGCGTTAGAACACATCTTCTGACAGTCTTATGCTCATTCGTTTCCCTTTGCTCACAAGACTAATGCACAGATTAAACAAAATCGATCGACATTTTTCCAAATACATTTTCTGTAAATTGCTAATTTTATTCCGAATTTGTTTAGGCAAGTGCAATCCGAGATCCAAGAAGCGGAATCGCGCCTCAAAGCGCTGGAAGCCAAAGCTGAAGAATTGAACCAAGAGTTGCGCGAGGCGCGGGAAAACGAGCGCGCTGCGAGCCGGACGCTTCAAGCGCTGGTCGGGGAGCGCCACGAGAAGGACGAAGCGGCCAGGACCGCGGCCGCCGCTTTGGAACAGCAACAAGCGCCGCACCATGCTGTATTGGTAAGTTTGGAGTAGTTATAGTACGGTGATATGAGATAAAGATCGTCGGAAGAGAAGAAGAGGAAACGTGTCAGCTTTGAGAGATTAAACCCGTTGCTACTTTTTTATATTACTGACGTGGGACTAACCACCAATAGTTCTAACCACTGCAACTCCTGTATAGCCAGGATCTAGTTTGATCGACGTGAACCCAACCATAGAAGGTTGAATAATTATTCAAGTAGAACCTTATATCTATCTAGGACCGACTATTTGAACCTCTCAATGATGTATACTCACACCGACTTCCCTCTAATACAAAGAGAGAGACAGAAACACCACGATTCACGTGAGTTGTTTACTATCTGTTACTGCTAAAGCCCGGTCCGTGAGCACGCAGAATTTTCTCCAATGACCCCTAGCTACCCATCCATAGCGCTCGCGCGTAATTATATTTCCGTTGCGACTGTGCGACGGTTGCCCGCAGTGAGTGTGCGAGCGCGATAGCAACATAATTACGCGCGAGCGATAAGGATGGGTAGCTTGGGGTCATTGGACAAAATTCTACGTGCTCACGGACCAGACTATAGTAAAAGACGCTCAGAAATCCGAAAATGTTCGACAAACGTGTACCTATTTTGTCGTCATTTCGAATCGCCCTTTTTAATTCTATTTCACTTTTCATAGCTGGACGAGCTGAACATCTCCAAAGAGAAGCTGCGTACCATCTCCGAGAAGCTCGCCTCGCACTCGCAGCAGTCGCAGGCGCTGCGGCGCCGCATCGACGAGCTCGACGCCGGCGCGAGGCGCGCCAAGAACCGGCTGGCAGACGTGTCAGCTGCCTGCCGCAGCATGAGCGTGAGTCATTGAGGATGGTCACTTCATTTTTGATTCAGATTATTATTAAAAAAAATGTGTGAAAAAAATAAGCATATAAAATTGTTTTTGAGATGTGAAATATCGAATGTACGACCGAGCAGTGCTGCAGTGTTGTGTGGAAATGATGTCACACTACAGGCGTGGGAATTTAATAATATTTGTCATAATGCTACATAACAAATCATTTAGGTTACGCCTGGAATACGACACCAGCGTTTTTCGAACGTCGTCATCTTGCTAGCGCTTGCGCACCGTCGACATGGCGCTGGCGACGCCAACGCTAAGTCAGCGGTATGAAGGAGTTGCTTTACTCATCATAAGATACAAACATTGCGTTGGCGCTGCACGAACGCAATGTCAGCGCTACGTCACGTCGATTCTGCGCGGACTGGCAAGACTACAACGTTCAAAGACTAGTGTGAGGGGTTCCATATCAAATAAAATCTTAATCGTTATCAGGAAGAGATCGAGCAAGAGCAACTGAAGCAAGCGCAAGGCGCGAGCGAGCGGCAGGCGTGCCAGCAGAAGCTGAAGGAGGACCAGCACAAGCTAGCGCAGGTGGCCAGTGTACTCGAGGAGAAGACTGCACACATCGAGAAGCTCACCGCTGAGGCGCTCACGCTGTGCGAGCGCGTCCAGAACCCGAGGTGAGGGAGCACATTTGCATATCGATACCTCGAACCTCAACGGGCGTAACCGCCCTTAGGCCCGATTCGACCAAACTTTATCCGAGAATAACTCCTGGTATAACTGATATATTGACAGTTTCAGTGTGGATAATATGTCAAAATGTCGAATAACTAAATATTTATTCTGAGATTAATATTTACTATTGTGTGGTCGAATCCACCCTTAGTCAAATCTGACTTAAATACATTCTTAGTTTAGTTAGTTTTTTCCACTTTATCGATGTGTATAATTTTGAAGTTCCTAATTTTTTTTATTATTCGGGTTAATATTTGTCTTAATCACGAATTTTATATACGCTTTAGTATGAATGCTAAAACTTTATTAAAGTGCACGGAGCGGGCACCCGCTCATGACGTCTAACGCAGCCGTGCGGGCTGACTTGGGACCCATCTCATAGAAACCCATCTCACGCGTTCGCGCGACACTCATGCGTACATAGTCTCATGCATGCGTCTGCGCAATTCTTGGCGTCGGCCCTTAAAATTATTTTTTCACTGGATTTCAATTAAATTTAACAATTCCAGTCTACAACAGCTGTACTTTCCTCCAGGGACCGCGCCATAGTGACTAACGAGCTGAAGAAGACTCAACTGAAGCTGAGTTCGATCCGCAGCGACGGACTGACCAAGGCGCAGGTGGCCGAGCGGTTGCTTGAGGTGGAGCGCAAGTATCGCCGCACCAAACAGACGCTGGCTCGCCTCAAGGGGCTCATCGACGAGGTCAGTGGCCGGGCTTGTCCACAGAGACTTATCCTGCTGAATTTGTCCACAGAGACTGCTCCATAGTCATTAAGTCCGCCACTGTACAGTTTTTTTTGTGCAAAAATATAAATAAATAAATAAAATAGTCCTTTCGAAAACCCCTGACGTTGATTGATATCCCATTTCCATGACATTTTAGTTAGTAAGACTACCGATAGATGTCGCTATGCAGGGTTACATCGCGGTGTACAAATTTTATGTGATTGGAGTTAAGCGGCCCCGAGACGATCAATCGCGATTGTCAATGTATTTACGTTCCAATTGACGGAAACGATTGTCAATGGCTCAGCTAAACGATCAATAATAGCTTCAACGGCACCTGTCAATTGGGCTTCAATTAAAATTATAGTTCCAAAATACTGAACTGTCCTATGCATGACATTGACAGTGGGGCGCCACCGTCAATACCGGATCGCTGGTTCCGATTTTTGCCATGTTGGAAACCATATAGTTGAACGATGGTAGCGCCCCCCTGTCATTGAGTTTGGCGGGACAGTTCACCGTGGGTCATCTATATCATCAATTTGCTTCAATCACGTAAATTCAATTGACAATCGCTTCAATGCCTTTTGTAAACGATCAATGTCAATTGTCAATCACGTAAAATTGACAACCGCGATTGATCTTCTCGGGGCCGCTTTAGACTTTTATGCTACTGTTAGCACGTGACTCCACAAAACATTGTTTACGTTTTACTTCATGAAAATTCAACATTAATGTATCGCTTTTCTTTCAGATTCAAAACACAACGGACAAACATCTCAACTTCTGCCACCGAGTGCAGACTTACATCGCAAGACGAGTTCAATACTGTTTCCAGTCTATACTGACTTTACGTGGATATTCGGTAAGAATAAATAATCACATGCTTTCTCCACAGATAGCCTACCTACACTTACACTATTTTGATATACGAGTCATAAATGTATGGTAAATCAAATATTTAAATCTACAGTTTGTAACTTTATAGCAAACATCCATCAATCTCAACTTTCGCGTTAATTTAATTTTTATGGCTGAAATGATATTTCGGACCCTCCAAAGTAGCGTCTTCCGAGCATCGTCGTTTCGCAACGTTTCAGTTAGGAAGCTGCTCAGTATAAGCGTGGCGGCGACGCTGCGCAGGCGCTGGCTAGACGACGACTCTCGGAAACTCTATAGATATTATTATATTATACCCTATAATTGTTTGTCCCAGGTATACATAATTGTCAACAACTTCGAGTGTAGTGTCTCCAACCTTCAGAGGAGTGGGTACAACACGGGCATTTGACATAATTTTTGTTTTGTCCATGTTCATTTTAAGACCCACTTGTTGATAGGCACTACTGAGGCCATCGAGCACTGTGTTTAGGTCCTCCACGGTCTCAGCTCGGTCAGCACGGTCAGCACGGTCGCGGGAGGTACCTGGATGCAAGCGGCGCAGGACCGGTCTTTGTGGAAATCCTTGGGGGAGGCCTTTGTCCAGCAGTGGACGTCTTTCGGCTGAAACGAACGAACCCTAGAATTACGGCTCATAAGTCCTCAATTACCTCTCACAGGGCAGCATGGAGATCGACAATGCACGCGGCGCGCTCGAGATTGTATGCACGGGCCGCGAGCAAGCCGGCAAGCGCCACGCGTCCAGCACGTCATCACTATCAGGCGGCGAGCGGTCGTACTCCACCGTGGCCTTCATCATGGCGCTGTGGGAGTGCGTCGAGCTGCCCTTCTACTTCATGGACGAGTTCGACGTGTTCATGGTAAGATATTGGCCGTACCGTGGTGTCCAAAACCTAATTTAACGCCTTGCACTCCAGCACGGTTTGACGCAGACCAACCCATTCGCAAAATGGTCACACTTTTTCAACCTACAAGTTGAATGTTGAACTACTGTTTCAAAAATGGCAGGTTTTAACTTTGTATCAAAGTGAGACCATTTTGCTAATGGGATGGTCTGCGTCAAAACCTCCAGCAATACTGGCAACAATAATTTGAGTAACCCTAGTATCTCGGGCTCCCCATGACGCTGTTGAAGAAGTATCGCAATTTTTCAAATATCAGAATTGATTGTTGTTAAAATACCTGCCGAATGTGTAAAACATTTGCATGCTGGTTCATATCTGGCGAATGTGTCCTGCTCCATTTCATTATGTAACATCTAATGTACCACATTCTGCAAATAAATAATTTGAATTTGAATGACCAGCTGTACTCAAGTGTAGCAATAAACTATTAAATTTTCATTAAATACAAAGTTCATTTCTTTTCAATAACGACTTGAAATTGTTGTAATGGGTTGTACGATATTTTTTAGACTTGTGATTTAAAATTGAAACATTGTGTCCTCAGGATAACGTGAACCGCAAGATAGTGATGGAGCTGCTGATCGACCACGCGCTCAAGAACACGAGTCGCCAGTTTGTGTTCCTCACTCCGCAGGACGCCTCAGCCGTGGTCGCCGGCCCGCAGATCAGCATACATCTGTGAGTAGACTGTTTCATCATCATCATCTCAGCCATAGGACGTCCACTGTTGAACATAGGCCTCCCCCAATGCTTTCCATGTTGCCCGGTTGGTAGCTACCTGCGTCCAGCGCCTAGACTGATTACTTACTTTCATAGGCTCAGGTCGTTACCACAGGTCACAAATTTATGTGCGATAGCTCAACAGTAAAGCTGGCCGACTTGAGATCCGAGGAAAGCTGGTTAGAACCCCGCCGCCGCAGCGGCGGTGCAGCGGTGAACCCACTCGTAAAGTTTAGACTAGCTAGAGCATTTACTTGTAACAGAACAACGAGCCACTCTATGATATGAATCCACCGTTTGGCCCGACTCTTCAAAAGGTTGAGCAGCCTTGTTCTAGTGTATCACCCTTTAACGAACCAAATGTACTTTGGAAATTAGTAAAACCGCCGCCGCGCCATCAAAGCATAATTTCGCCCGTGGTGCTGCAGCGGTGTTCACGCGGCGCATATAAACAGTGCAAAGGCGCGGCGGCGGCGCGGTAGCAGCGTCGTGTGCAGGAGCGCTAAAAGCTCAATAATTTCCAAAGTACGTTTGGTTCGTTAAAGGGTGATACACTAGCTAGAACATATCATAGAGTGGCTCGTTGTTCTGTTACAAGTAAATGCTCTAGCTAGGAGCGCTTACCTGTATTGTACCATTCGTAAGAATGTTAAGTTTACATAAAAATGTTCGAGAAAATGTTCTAGTGTATATCCACCTTAACAGAATCATATTTAGCTTCATGAGGGGTTAACGGGACTATTAGTAATCAATTAGAACCTGAGGCATCCTTACTTCTATCGGTTGGTACATATCGCCCTCAAAAGATACTGCACAAGCTAATAAATGCAGAACTCGAAGGCGTAGAAGATAGCGGCGATCGGTGATCGCAGTGATACTACTAGTATTATACTAGGACTCCATTGATTTAGAAGAAAATAAAGAAATAAAACAGGTCACAAATTAATGTTCTTATCTTGTTACAGGATGGCTGACCCACGACCGTAGTGCCGAAAAAGTTAAGTAAACAGTTCAGTGATTATTAATGTGATTGCAATTATTACACCAGTGATGTGTTTCAATGTTACCATAGGTATTTAAAATGTCTTAACTACTTGTCTAAACATTCCGACACTTAAAAACCCGCCGAATGTTAGATATTTTAATTGATTTTATAATATTAAGGATTTAATTAATATACATTTTATTTTTTAAACTTGTTTTATTTTTTTTCATTACATAGAAAATAGAAATACAATCAACACCATATTTTATTTAATACTATATTCTTGAAACATTCACGCACCGACTCTGACGCACAACATGTGATCTATGCATATTATTGCACAAGTGACAAAATATAATACGACTCTGGACAAATAGGTTTATGGCTTCCTGTTAAACTGTCTGAGATCACACACAACTTATTCGGGAATACAATTGAAAATTCTACTACATTAGGTTTTATATTAGTTTAAATTTTATGTAAAATACTTAAATCTAAAAGCGCCTTATGGGTACAGTTAATGAATATAGTTACATTTTAAATTATTTCCATATAAAGTAATTCTAAAAGTCTTATTTATAAGGCGAAAGTTTGCCCTAAAAGATAAGCGTAATCGTTGGCCTTAATTCTATGATCAACAGTTCACTCTCGATACAACACTTTCAGCTCTAGCGTTTATGAATATGATATTTGTAACTTTTGAATAACAAATATATTGAACTATGTACTTAGTTTGCATCAGGTCTCAAAAACCATTTCTAATGAGACATGCTTTCTACGAAAATGTAGATCACACTTTACTATTTATAAACGTTAGGAATAGACACGTGTCTAAAGTTAATGAAACGTGAATGAAGAATTATTATAAATATTAGGAAGTTTGTAATGTTATCATCTAATGATGAAGCAAAGCTCTAATTTTCACTATTCTTAAAGTTAATATTCTAAGGAAACCAATAGTTTTCAGTGATCAAAAGATTTTTCTGTTCTTGGGAAAGTATAAAGCTATTTTTTTATCAAGAGCCAATCTTATAATTACAACATTTTTACTCATAAGACACAAGTTTAACAATGCAAAGTCATGCATTATGCGATTTCTTTGTGATTATGTTGTACATTATAAGATCGAATTTATCAATAACATCTTTAAAGTAGCCAAACATTATACTTTTGACAAAACTAAAACGTTTTACCTCTCTTAACTCAAATTATAAAAAAGGGAATCTTGCCACATACAAATTTCACTGATAATAATAATTAGCTAGCACTTTTTAGATATCCATCTAGGTCTTTGGTTAAAATGACGCTAATTTGAAAACGGCATTTTATTATTTCTTTACATTTAAATATTTTTTTTTATGAATTATAATTTTTAAATCAGTCTCGTGAACAATGTGTTCATTTAGCGTGATAAGTTAAAGAATAATTTATATTTACAGAGTTAGCAATGAAAATAGAAAACCCTAAACCTTTATAAACAGTACAAGAGTATCATAGATAATTCGAAAGAAATGAATAAAGTAATTGCTTAATGTTAAATTAATTCAGATAACCTTAAATTGATTTATACAATTTGCTAGTGCGTAAAGTTATAATTCGATCTATCGAACGATTATGTATTCCTTTTTGTTTGATGGCTTATTATGAAGAAAACAAATACAGTATTTATTTAGAAAACTTAGATTTATATAGTAAAATGACTGTTAATTCAAAATGCAAATATGTTACTTTAAAAGTTGATACGTTAACATTTAGATATCAATATACATGTTGATTGGAAAGCGATTATATTGTAATGCATTCATACTTTTATTTACAAAAAGTAATATAAATTCAAAAAGAATATACGCGAAGAACGTTTAAAAAGAAATTGGGTGCTGTTTAGGATTTAACACACGACACACTTGAGAAAACTCTTCTAGCGAGTAACTTCAAACATTTGGAATGTTTCTAAGACATGGCAGTTTCGCCAATTTCATCTCCGAATTAAAATATTCTTGTTTATAAATTTTAAACAAACTCAATGTGGTGTCCCTAGATATTGATAAGGGACAATCAGTCCGAAATGAATTTACATCCATAACAATCATCAACATTTTATTCAGTCTTAATGATCTTAACCAAATCATGTTTTTTCCTTACAATGTACCTATAGTTGTTAACTTTTCATCCGCCTAATATTAAACAAGTACATCCACCTACAGAAGTGTATTTTCTCATTAAAGTTATGTAATTATAAGTTTCTAATAGCCTGAAACTCTTTTTTGTCGAACTTTTGAGAAACCAAACTCATACGAAAGTAGTTTTTAGAATCTATTAATTTTTTTAATGTGCATGTCAGAAACTACCCATATTTTATAAAGTTAATTTCATGCAACAAACTTGCAGTTAATTTGAAATTAGTTGGTGAGTAAGCTAAAGCTTTATCACACAAAGCAGTTAGTAATAACTCCTTTTAGTTAATTCAATTTGGATAGTCTCTTTCACGTAAATTATGAATGGTTCTCTTACTTTTGCTGTAATATTAGAATGTGTTTATAAAGTGATTTTTAACGTGGATTTGAAATGATCACTAATATAATTTACATGCAAAATTTCAATAAATTTTGTATCAACTAAGTGAACGACTTGTTTCTTTCTATAAAAATTGGTGGTATACTTTATTCGAGTTGAATAAATTCAACAGATTTCATAAGTGCATAATCAATAGAATTATGCAACACATACAACATGCATTTACGAATATATCCGTGAGATTGTCAATATAAAATGAGGTATTTTATTATCGGGTTCAACTTACAACGCGAACAGTACTTAAACAGAGTGATAACAATTAACAAGGAATAATAGTATGCACCATAAACACAATAGAGTTAGATATAGTAGCTGCATTGCCTACTGGACCACAATCTTAGGTACTGATGATATTAACGTGACCTTTCGCAATTTTCAATGGAAACTACATTTTATTGATAGAGTTACTAGACAGGATTATAGATCGTTTTATCCACGAAGACGCGCCCCACCATTCTTCCGGATAATTACACGCTAAATTATCCACGAGTGCACACGCACACTACAATAATGACGCTTGGATTGCTCGGATCAAACTCCCCACACCCCGCGCTTCCCTCGACCAAATATTGGTGGGGCGCGTCTTCGTGGATAAAACGATCTATATACTTTTCTCAATAGATTTAATTATTTATTCGGATTAGTAATTTGACGTTGAAGGTTTTGAAACTATCAATAGGAATCGCCAGTGTCATGTTGGCGATAAAGATTCGTTGAAATAGACCTTCCTAACATCAAGTTACTAACTCGAATTCACGAAATTGCCCTAACAAAGTGTCCGTTTGTCAAAGACCACACTAATGTGACTTTATGGCGCAAGTACACTATGCGGGAAATTGACCGAGACGAAGCGCGAGCCCGCACACCGAAAAATGGGCGACGCACGGCGAAACTAACCAAAGTGCGTGTTTACACTATACGTCTCGATCAATGTTCCGCATAGTGTACTTGCGCCATAATAATGGCAAGTTGTTTGAGTGAATTTTCCTGTACTTGTGACCTGCAGGAATGTGCCTACTATATCGAACTGCATTGTACCTGCTCACTCAACATCTGTGTATTGCAAGTCCTGGTGCCTGGTGGATTCATCCTGGTGCCTGGTGAACTCTTCCTGGTGCGTTATGAACTCCGCCTGGTGCCTGGTGGAGGGTGTTTTGGTGGTGGGGGTCGTGGGGCTCTTCTGGTCGGACTGCGGCGGCGTGGGTGGGTAGATGTGCTCCGTATCGTGAGACGTCGACGCTCCGGGGTCCGTTTGTGACGTGGCTTGGTCTAGTAGTTGTTGGGATACTTTGTCCTGGGGAAATGGTAAGGCATTTTTAATAATTTTCTGTAATGAAGTGATGATTGAGATGGGCATGATGATGAAAAATGCTAGAAGTTTTAAAGGATATTAGGGTATGACATGTGCACGATTTTGAAATCAAAAGTGCAGGAATAAAACGCAAGATAGCTTGTTAGAGCGCATTTCCGTCAGTTGGCTCGCAGTCGAAGTGGTGGTCTTTACTGAAGTAAGTCGTCAACAGTGCGTGTTTTAAGCAATCCCCAGTATAAATAAGGGTTGTTACACCTAAGCGGGCACCAAATCCGAATCTTTGGAACAGCAAAGCTGGCTTAAGGCAATTATTGCACTTTGTACCCAAACGATGAATCTACATAATATTCGATTATACCACCTAGCTGTGCCGATTATTACCAGTCCGCTTCGGCCTTGTTTCCACCAAGGTGGAGCGGAGCGAAGAAATGTTTTGACCAATCTTTAATTTTTGAGAATGAAATCTGTTTGGTTTTTCGCAACATTTTTCCGCTCCGCTCCTTGGTGGAAACCTTGCCCTTACGTGTGTAGGACCCAGTGATCATGTAGGAATGGCAATAAGGGCTATCGTTTTTTTACCTAACAGTTGGCACCCCTGGTGATTGACAGGACCTTACTCTACAGTGGCGCCATCTTGATGAGTGCAAATGCGATAGTCCTCCTACCACTTTCGCGCTCACCAGCTGTCGCCACTGTCTTCGCTACTAGCAAGTGACAGGACCTTACTCTACAGTGGCGCCAACTGGTGAGCGCTAAAACTATCGTTTTGTGCCCTCATTGCGCGGATACTTCGGGCCCTTACGTGTGTAGGCTAGGTACCCTGTGCTGTGATCGTTAAGGAATGCCAATTGGGATGTTTCAAAAAGCAAGAGTTTTAATTAGTCCGTCAGTTAACTTATCAATACTCTACACGTATTTTTCACTTTTTCAAACTAATGAAAATTTAAAGAGATAAAGCGCGCCAAAGTTCATAAGAAGAGGCCCGTGACGTCAAAAGTGCCGCACGTTGTGACGTCGTGCGGAACTTCAACGCACCATAACTATGTAATTATTTGTCAGATAGACAAATAAAAATATATGTGTCCAATATTTTTTGATATTAAACATGACGGACTAAAGAAATTTTTTTAGGAAACTAGCCTATTGCGCGGATACTCACGAACATGTCGAGCGAGACGTTGTGCGACTGGATGCGGTGGCTCTCGTCCATGTTGAGGTCGGGGCAGATGAGCTGCAGGCCGGCGCCGCGCTGCACGAACTCGCCGTCGCCGCCGCGCACCACGCACACGGCGCCTTCCGACCGCACCACGCGCACGAATGGTGCGAGCCACGCGTAGCACGGCTCGATCGCTTCCCAGCTGTAGCCTGCACGAATAAGGAAGGTTAGAGATATTGCTGTTCGGGCACCTTCGGCTGCTTTCGGCCCGGAGGCGCGGGCGCCCGGCACCCCGCGGCGATCGGCCGCCACTTCACCTCACGTCACCGACGACACTGCGCTCCTCTATGTATATTATGTGCTTTCCTACCAATAACTGTTTAACGTGGTCTTTTATTAAACCTTTATTACAGTCCACTACTCTCATTTCCACAATTACCATGACATGTCAGATGTCATGTTACCAATTGAGTTCTCAACAATGACTTCGTACTTGTCTTTGCACTAAAAATTCTATGGGAGACTCGCGTCTTGACAACTTATAAAAAGTGCGTTATGTGCTTTCCGAAAAATGTTTGCATTTCGCTGAGTGACACACAACAATATGTTAAATTGCAGTCGGGACAACATCGTCAAGTTGATGAGGAGCAAAGTAAAACTTACGCTTTTTTATGCCCCACTGTATGGCACAGACCTCACCCTAAATGTGGAGTGATTCATGGTACACTTTACCACTCAAGCTAACTCCTTACTCAAGTAGCTTAAAGCTAATACGAACTACGATAAAAGCGAGCACCAATTAGAAGAGAAATCTAATAGAAGTATGAGCCACTCTCCCGAGCTGTTGAAGGAGTGTGCGAGTGGCGGTTGACGTCCACGTGTAGCACGGCCAGGTCGANTTCCTTATCACTTTTCCGCTGAAAGTTGACAAAAGAAAGCACCTAAGCGTAGAAGCAAACCATTACTAAGCATGCACATACCTAATTATTATTATTGACGGGATTGCTACCATGTATCTTAATTATTTTGAGTTTCCGATATTAGGGCTGTTGTAAGCGCCATGGTCACGACGGAGTAACTGAGGAAACTCAAAATTAAGGTACATGGTAGCAATCCCGCCAGTAATAATAATTATGTTAGTTTTTTTCTTTTTTTTATCCACAACGAGGTAGCTCTTGGCCTGTATCTCACCTGATGGTAAGTGACGATCAGGCCGAAGGTGGAAGCGAGCTTCACCCGGAATCCTCAACCACGGAGGAACTGGCTATCTTACCTCTAACTGCCGGAACACAACAATGCTGTTAACATACCCATGAAAGTTTAAAACAATGTAATGTGCAGACCTAATTAATGCTAAAACCATCATAATTTAGATTTAGGTACTACTTGCTTGTCCAATATTAAATTACTTACACATGACGCTAAGCAAACAGATAGGTAGCTAGGTACCTACTCGTAGTTAGCTGAGTACCAACTTAATGTAAAATCAGCTCTATTTTAACGGATAAGCTGTAATCAAATTATTAATACCATTATAAGAGTAAATAAATAGATTGACTTGTACTCAGTGGCATGTGAACAAGTCAGGTGTAGAGCATCTTTTAATGCACGACATAGAGTTCATCATCATCATCATTTCAGCCATAGGACGTCCATTGCTGAACATCGGCCTGTCCTAATGATTTCCACAAAAGCTGGCTAGTAGCAGCGTCTTCCTGCCACCTTTATGAGGTCGTTTGTCCACCTTGTGGGTCAGTGGACGTCCTGCGTAGAGTTTTCAAACCACAAATACCTACAGAAGGTTTGTGATAGAACATCGAATTACCTATAAAGAATCAAGTGATTAAGAAACTGGTGTAACTAACAATCTTCGTTTGTTTTTTCAAAACTTGTTACTTTTTGCGTCTTGTGTCTTCGCGAGCCGGATCGCGGCGCGGTCCACGCAGCCAGCGTATGCGCCTTACGACTACATTCGATACCAAACTCGATACCGCCGCCAAATTGAACTCAATCGAATGGAACTCGTTATCGTCTACCACGGAACTGGCCTTTTAATTATTGCCCTCAAATATCGTAACTTTGTCGCCTTGGCACCTATTTATGAAGAACTCTGTCGTATTAAAAGATACAACATTAGAATTTATATCATTTTTATTTTTACCTTAACACTTTATTTGACATTAATTTCTTTGTGCTCGAGATTTAGATGAGCAAGTTAGAGTTGAATTCATGTTATTGAATAGTGTTATTTTATTTTTACTATGTATAATTCAGATATAGGCAAATGTTTGTATCGTGGCTATTTAACTGACAAACTCTACCAGTTGGGAATCAAAGTTCAAAAGCACTTGATCATTTTATGCTAAGAAATCTTATCGTAATTACTACTTTACATACGTGAATGACTTGAGTTTTTCATGTTAAGTGCAAAGAGAATATTAACGCTCGTGTGAAGTGTTTCTTTAATACTGGACATCTCTACGTACGTAATCAGCCTGTATTTTATCATCTGATTTGCATAGTTATTGCATAGCATTAACTAAGATATCCCACTTGTCATAAAGTTACTATTTCGACTTATAATTTTTAGCATAATGAGGTCGGTCCAAAATTGAGTTCTGTAATTTAATGCTTTTATGCCTTGTAATAGCACTGATAATAATACTAGGTAATAGTATGTATGGAAATATGTAGATGCCTTATTTATTAAGTTGTTTCTCTTAACTTCGACTCTGAGCGTTCAAGTTCTCCACGTTGACTGCCAAAATCTTTCGAGAATAAACTTAACGAATGGTTTATATTTCTTACATACATACTATCATAAGTCAAGTTAGTTAATATACCTATATATACCACCCAAGGGTGAGTAGGTAAAAACACGTATTAAGCTGAATGTAGAGCCCACTTCGTGTAGTAAAATGCTGAGCCATGTCAATCACCTTCGTTCTCCTTTGAATCTTATTATACCTCCTCATAAATATCATGTATCAAAATCATTTTGCGGAGTAGAATCTCAGGTAATAACCGGGGTTGTTATAAAATTAATAATGGATAATTTCACGCGTCTATTTTTGGTCTGGTACACCCAAGTTTGGCTCCCGTATAATAAGCATGGTAGTAGGCAGGTTTCGACTACGGTTCTTTTCAGGTGCAAGCTATAGTTGCCTTTCAGGATCTCTTTGTGCGACCAGAACTTTTTCCAGGTGATGTTTATCCTTCTGCTTATTTCCTCTTCGTTGCTTTCTTCCNACCTGCCTTAAGCTGAAGACGAATGGCCAACTGTAGTACAAATACTAAGTTCATTTTTTTCCAATAATGAACTGAATTTCACAAAGCTAGATAACTGGTTTTCATTTCATTATCTAGTTCACGATATTTTTTAGACTTGTATTTCAAATTGAAAACTTATTGTCTTCAGGACAACGTGAACCGCAAGATAGTAATGGAGCTGCTGATCGACCACGCGCTCAAGAACACGAGTCGCCAGTTCGTGTTCCTCACGCCGCAGGACGCTTCAGCCGTAGTCGCGGGCCCGCAGATCAGCATACACCTGTGAGTATAGTCCGGTCGCCGAGCACGTAGAATTTCGTTCAATGACCCCAAGCCTTATCGCTCGCGTGTAATTATATCGCTGTTGCGACGGGCGGCCGCAGCGAGTGTGCGAGCGCGGCAGCAACATAATTACGCGCGAGCGATAAGGATGGGTAACTTGGGGTCATTGAACGAAATTCTACGTGCTCGGAGACCGGGCTTTAGACTGTTTCATTATCATCATCTCAGCCATAGGACGTCCACTGTTGAACATAGGCCTCCCCCAATGCTATCCATGTTGTCCGGTTGGTAGCTTCCTGCGTCCGGCGCCCAGACTGTTTACTTACTTTTATAGGCTCAGGTCGTTACCACAGGTCACAAATTAATGTGCGATAGCTCAACGGTAAAGCTGGCCGACTTGAGATCCGAGGAAAGCTGGTTCGAACCCCGCCGCCGCTGTGAACCCACTCGTAAAGTATAGACTAGCTAGAGCATTTACTTGTAACAGAACAACGAGCCACTCTATGATATATTCTAGTGTATCACCCTTTAACGAACCAAACGTACTTTGGAAATTAGTAAAACCGCCGCCGCGCCATCAAAGCATAATTTGGCCCGTGGCGCGGCAGCGGTGTTCACGCGGCGCGTATAAACAGTGCAAAGGCGCGGCGACGGCGTCGTGTGCAGGAGCGCTAAAAGCTCAATAATTTCCAAAGTACATTTGGTTCGTTAAAGGGTGATACACTAACTAGAACATATCATAGAGTGGCTCGTTGTTCTGTTACAAGTAAATGCTCTAGCTAGGAGCGCTTACCTGTATTATACCAATCCTAAGAATGTTAAGTTTACATAAAAATGTTCTAGTGTATATCCACCTTAACAGAATCATATTTAGCTTCATGAGGGGTTAACGGGACTATTAGTAATCTATTAGAACCTGAGTTGGTACATATCGCCCCCAAAAGATACTGCACAAGCTAATCAATGCAGAACTCGAAGGCGTAGAATATAGCGGCGATTACAATAAAGCCATACTGATCGCAGTGATACTACTAGTATATACTAGGACTCCATTGATCTAGAACAAAATAAAGAAATAAAACAGGTCACAAATTAATGTTCCTTTCTTTTTACAGGATGGCTGACCCACGACCGTAGTGCCGAAAAGGTTAAGTAAACAGTTCAGTGATTTTTAATATTAATGTGATTGCAATTATTACACCAGTGATGTGTTTCAATGTTACCATAGGTATTTAAAATGTCTTAACTACTTGTCTAAACATTCCGACACTTAAAAAACCCGCCGAATGTTAGATATTTTATTGATTTTATAATATTAAGGATTTAATTAATATACATTTTATTTTTTAAACTTGTTTTATTTTTTTTCATTACATAGAAAATAGAAATACAATCAACACCATATTTTTTTAATACTATATTCTTGAAACATTCACGCACCGACTCTGACGCACAACATGTGATCTATGCATATTATTGCACAAGTGACAAAATATAATACGACTCTGGACAAATAGGTTTATGGCTTCCTGTTAAACTGTCTGAGATCACACACAACTTATTCGGGAATACAATTGAAAATTCTACTACATTAGGTTTTATATTAGTTTAAATTTTATGTAAAATACTTAAATCTAAAAGCGCCTTATGGGTACAGTTAATGAATATAGTTACATTTTAAATTATTTCCATATAAAGTAATTCTAAAAGTCTTATTTATAAGGCGAAAGTTTGCCCTAAAAGATAAGCGTAATCGTTGGCCTTAATTCTATGATCAACAGTTCACTCTCGATACAACACTTTCAGCTCTAGCGTTTATGAATATGATATTTGTAACTTTTCAATAACAAATATATTGAACTATGTACTTAGTTTGCATCAGGTCTCAAAAACCATTTCTAATGAGAATGACATGCTTTCTACGAAAATGTAGATCACACTTTACTATTTATAAATTTTAGGAATAGACACGTGTTTAAAGTTAATGAAACGTGAATGAAGAATTATTATAAATATGTATTAGGAAGTTTATAATGTTATCATCTAATGATGAAGCAAAGCTCTAATTTTCACTATTCTTAACACTTAAGGACTCGCTAATGGGTCTAACGGACCCAGTTCTTCAATTTTTGTGTAATAACTTTTAGAGTTTGACGTTTGCGATGTTGTCGCTTTTAGTACCTTTCCACGACATTGTAGCACAGCCAATAGCGATCATAATCGTCAAATAGCCCACTGCATGTGATTGCTACAGACGAAAAATGTGTTTTTGAGTCCACTGAACCCGGTAAACAAACTGAATTTTTAAATGTTTTATACAAATTTCTCAATAATTGTTAATTGGTATAAGTAGGCAAATCATAGTAGCTTACGAAAATAAACAAGGTATTTTTTTAAATAATTGATTACAAAAATTTACAAAAATAACCTTCATTTTGCCAAAAAACCTTCAATTTTTTAAATAAGTTGTTATTTTAGAAAAAGGCAATAAATATGACTATTTGTTTTATTATTTTATCTTTGTTTACATCATTATGTCCTTCTCATAAAGTAGATTTCACTTTTATTAAGAGTTTTTGAAAATACATAGGATTTTATATACTGGGTTCAGCGTACCCGGTAGCGAGTATGAATGTTACAAATTAAGGCGCGAGTCCTCAAGTGTTAAAGTTAATATTCTAAGGAAACCAATAGTTTTCAGTGATCAAAAGATTTTTCTGTTCTTGGAAAAGTAAGCTATATTTTTTTTATCAAGAGCCAATCTTATAATTACAACATTTTTACTCATAAGACACAAGTTTAACAATGCAAAGTCATGCATTATGCGATTTCTTTGTGATTATGTTATAACTTATAAGATCGAATTTATCAAAAACATCTTTAAAGTAGCCAAACATTATACTTTTGACAAAACTAAAACGTTTTACCTCTCTTAACTCAAATTATTAAAAAGGGAATCTTGCCACATACAAATTTTACTGATAATAATAATTAGCTATCACTTTTTAGATTTCCATCTAGGTCTTTGGTTAAAATGACGCTAATTTGAAAACGGCATTTTATTATTTCTTTACATTTAAAATTATTTTTTATGAATATAATTTTTAAATCAGTCTCGTGAACAATGTGTTCATTTAGCGTGATAAGTTAAAGAATAATTTATATTTACAGAGTTAGCAATGAAAATAGAAAACCCTAAACCTTTATAAACAGTACAAGAGTATCATAGATAATTCGAAAGAAATGAATAAAGTAATTGCTTAATGTTAAATTAATTCAGATAACCTTAAATTGATTTATACAATTTGCTAGTGCAAGTAAAATTATAATTCGATCTATCGAACGATTAAGGATTCCTCTTTGTTTGATGGCTTATTATGAAGAAAACAAATACAGTATTTATTTAGAAAACTTAGATTTATATTGTAAAAGGACTGTTAATTCAAAATGCAAATATGTTACTTTAAAAGTTGATACGTTAACATTTAGATATCAATATACATGTTGATTGGGAAGCGATTATATTGTAATGCATTCATACTTTTATTTACAAAAAGTAATATAAATTCAAAAAGAATATACGCGAAGAACAACGTTTAAAAAGAAATTGGGTGTGCTGTTTAGGATTTAACACACGACACACTTGAGAAAACTCTTCTAGCGAGTAACTTCAAACATTTGGAATGTTTCTAAGACATGGCAGTTTCGCCAATTTCATGTCCGAATTAAAATATTATTGTTTATAAATTTTAAACAAACTCTATGTGGTGTCCCTAGATATTGATAAGGGACAATCAGTCCGAAATGAATTTACATCCATAACAATCATCAACATTTTATTCAGTCTTAATGATCTTAACCAAATCATGTTTTTTCCTTACAATGTAGTTGTTAACTTTTCATCCGCCTAATATTAAACAAGTACATCCACCTACAGAAGTGTATTTTTTCATTAAAATTATGTAATTATAATTTTCTAATAACCTGAAACTCTTTTTTGTCGAACTTTTGAGAAACCAAACTCATACGAAAGTAGTTTTTAGAATCTATTAAATTTTTTGATGTGCATGTCAGAAACTACCCATATTTTAAAAAGTTAATTTCATGCAACAAACTTGCAGTTAATTTGAAATTAGTTGGTGAGTAAGCTAATCTTTTTCACACAAAGCAGTTAATTTAATAAGAACTCCTTTTAGTTAATTTAATTTGGATAGTCTCTTTCACGTAAACTATGAATGGTTCTCTTACTTTTGATGCAATATTTGGATGCGTTTATAAAGTTTATTTGAAGTAATCAAATATTATTATTATTAATATAATTTATATGCAAAATTTCAATAAATTTTTATCATGTAAGTGGAGTACTTGTTTCTTTCTATAAAAATTGGTGGTATACTTTATTCGAGTTGAATAAATTCAACAGATTTCATAAGTGCATAATCAATAGAATTATGCAACACATACAACATGCATTTACGAATATATCCGTGAGATTGTCAATATAAAATGAGGTATTTTATTATCGGGTTCAACTTACAACGCGAACAGTACTTAAACGAGTGATAACAATTAACAAGGAATAATAGTACGCACCATAAACACAACAGAGTTAGATATAGTAGCTGCATTGCCTACTGGACCACAATCTTAGGTACTGTGATATCAACGTGACCTTTAGCAATTTTTAATGGAAACTACATTTTATTGATAAAGAGTTACTACACAGGATTATAAATCATTTCATCCACGAAGAGGCGCCCCACCATTCTTCCGGATAATTACACGCTAAATTATCCACGAGTGCACACGCACACTACAATAATGACGCTTGGATTGCTCGGATCAAACTCCCCGCACCCGCGCTTCCCTCGACCAAATATTGGTGGGGCGCGTCTTCGTGAATGAAACGATCTACTTTTCTCAATAGATTTAATTATTTATTCGGATCAGTAATTTGACGTTTAAAGTTTTGGAACTATCAATCAATAGGAATCGCCAGTGTCATGTTGGCGATAAAGATTCGTTGAAATAGACCTTCCAAACATCAAGTTACTAACTCGAATTCACGAAATTGCCTTAACAAAATGTCCGTTTGACCAATTTTTAGATCTGAATAAAGCCTAGCGGCAGTCGTTCAGTAGACCACACTAATGTGACTTTATGGCGCAAGTACAGTATGCGGGAAATTGACCGAGACGAAGCGCGCGAGCGTTCCCGCACACCGAAAAATGGGCGACACACGGCGAAACTAACCAAAGTGCGTGTTTACACTATACGTCTCGATCAATGTCCCGCATAGTGTACTTGCGCCATAATAATGGCAAGTTGTTTGAGTGAATTTTCCTGTACTTGTGACCTGCAGGAATGTGCCTACTATATCGAACTGCATTGTACCTGCTCACTCCACGTCCGTATATACCAAGTCCTGGTGCCTGGTGGATTCCTCCTGGTGCCTGGTGAACTCTTCCTGGTGCGATATGAACTCCGCCTGGTGCCTGGTGGAGGGAGTTTTGGTGGTGGGGGTCGTGGGGCTCTTCTGGTCGGACTGCGGCGGTGTGGGTGGGTAGATGTGCTCCGTGTCGTGGGATGTCGACGCTCCGGGGTCCGTTTGTGACGTGGCTTGGTCTAGTAGTTGTTGGGATACTTTGTCCTGGGGAAATGGTAAGGCATTTTTAATAATTTTCTGTAATGAAGTGATGAATGAGATGGGCATGATGATGTAAAATGCTTGAAGTTTTAAAGGATATTAAGGTATGACGTGTGACGATTTTGAAAACTAGAGTGCAGAAATTAAACGCAAGATTAGCTAGTTTTTAAGAGCATATTACCGTTCGTTTCATCGTAATCGAAGTGGGGATCTTCGCCGAATTAAGTCATTCACAGTGCCTGTCTTTAGTAATTAGCAGTATAAATAAGGGTTGCTAAACATAAGCAGGCACCAAATCCGAATCTTTGGAACAGCAAAGCTGGCTTGAAGCAATTACTGCACTTTACCCAAACGACGAATCTACATGATATTCGATTATAGCACACAACTGTGCCGAATATTACCAGCCCGCTTCGGCCTGGTTTCCACCAAGGATCGGAATCTTTAATTCATTATTATAGAATGAAATCTGATAGGTTATTCGAAACATGTTCAACAATGTTAACAGCATTATTGTGTTCCGGCAGTTAGAGGTAAGATAGCCAGTTCCTCCGTGATTGAGGATTCCGGGTGAAGCACGCTTCCACCTTCGGCCTGATCGTCACTTACCAAGAGAAACAGGCCAAGAGCTTCCTTGTTGTGAATTAAAAAAAATCATTTCTCCGCTCCGCTCCGCCTTGGTGGAAACCTTGCCCTTACGTGTGAAGAACCCAGTGATCGTTTAGGAATTCGAGCGGGATACTCACGAACATGTCGAGCGAGACGTTGTGCGACTGGATGCGGTGGCTCTCGTCCATGTTGAGGTCGGGGCAGATGAGCTGCAGGCCGGCGCCGCGCTGCACGAACTCGCCGTCGCCGCCGCGCACCACGCACACGGCGCCTTCCGACCGCACCACGCGCACGAATGGTGCGAGCCACGCGTAGCACGGCTCGATCGCTTCCCAGCTGTAGCCTGCACGAATAAGGAAGGTTAGATATTTTTATTGCACTCACACATTACAAAATAACAGAATTAATGTTTAATTATTATTATGCTATGACGCACATAACAATGTTAAATAGTCGCAATGAGGGCTATCGTTTTTATACTTAACAGTTGGCACCCCTGGCGATTGACAGGACCTTACTCTACAGTGGCGCCAACTGGTGAGCGCTAAAACCATAGCCCTAATTGGGACGACATCCTCAAGTTATATCAGGAAAGCAAAGTATGCAGGCGACTGCACGAGTGTTTGCACCGAAAAATAATATGAGCATGCGTGTGACGTGTTTAGGTACAGTTTATACACACGCGACGAGTGAGTTTTTTAAAGTAGATCCTTACGCTTTTATACGTCCAACTGCATGGTACAGACCTCGCCCTAAATGTTGAGTGATTCATAGTGATGATACTCTACCACACAAGCCAGCTTCTTACTTATGTACCTTAAAGTTCATCGGATCATGAACCAGAAGAAGCGACGAATCGTATACAAGCAAGCACCTGTTACAGAAAAGGAATATAACCCAATAATAGCCACTCACCCGAGACCCGCACCGCCAGGTCCTTGTTGAAGGAGTGCGCGATGGCGGCGGCGGCCACGGCGCTGTGCGAGTGGCGGTTCACGTCCACGTGTAGCACGGCCAGGTCGATGAGCTGCCCGCATACCACGAACTCTAGCGACGAATACTGCGGGAAGACGAACGTGTAGCCGCGGAGAGCGTTCGCGCCCACGTCGCTCTCGCCTAGTAGCCTGTGGAATTCATACGTCTATGTTACATCTAAGCAAGAAATATTAATTGTACACAAAATATCAGTTTCTCAATTGAGATTTTAGTTTGAGCGTGCTGATTTTCATATTTAAGCAGAAAAGGGGTCAGTAAGCAGATTATACATGAAACTGCCTGTCTTCACCATCAAAACCTAATATTAGGGATTGATGGTGAAAACGAGCATGAAACCTTAACGTCACTTTTATGTGACCACTACTTTCTCCACCTGGGATAAGTACATGAACCTAGGTGCCTAAATAGGGAACTCTTCTTGGGTCTCAAATAAGTTTTTCCAGTTTTATGAGTAAAAATTAGATACCAGCTTTTAGAATAAGTATAAAATGATGATACTACAAATGACAAATAACACAATGAAATCTTTCGAAATAACTGATAACAGAATGTGCTTACCTCCGTTTCGCACTCCGCCCTTCACTGGCCAGCTGCATGTATACATTTAGCCAGCTGTTGATAGTTATTGGCGTGATGCTCCACGACAGTTCCCGCAATATCAGCAGCTCCTCGATCAGGATCTCTTCTGACGTGCACGCGCCGTCTGTCACGTACGCGAACTCGCCAATCTTCGGTGGGTATACCTCTTCGACCTTCGCAGCTATGAAGAGACACGTTATGCCTGCAACGAAAGGATGTGTTGTGTTGTTAACACTCCAGTTGGGCTAGGACGCGATCGTAATAAAATATTATCGTAGATTTTAAACAACAAATGTGTGGGCTTATCGGGCAAAATCGATAAAGTTCATGGCGCGATTTTAGGCATTATGAATAAAGAGATTCTTTACTCTGTGTCTAGTCTACGCCTTCAGCTTTTATATCTGAGAACAATTGAACAAGCTTCATGATACGAGTGATGCAAAGATTAGGCGATTGTCGCACGGGTCGAGCCAATAGGTCAATGAAAAAGGCGTTGAACGTAAAAAAGCTCCACACAAAAGGGTAACGCTCTGAATGCTAATGAAACAATGCAAGTGTACGATCACATGTTTTTTGCAAGGCTTTTAGTGATGGCAAGATGTAATGCTTCTTCTTTTTTCCAGGAGAGTATTTTTAGGATACATTTTCTCTGTAGACCGACCATCGAGTAAAGGTCGCAGGAAGCACCTGGATGCTGGCAGCCTAGGAGCGATCGTTGTGGAAATCTTTGGGAGAGGCCTTTGTCTAGCAGTAGACGGCACTAAGTTGAAACGAAAATTTTCCCTGAAGCCATTTGAAAAATGATGATGCTATTTTCTTAACAGTGTTATGATTACGCCTTGGCACTCTAAATGGCACAAAATCAACACTGTACAGAAAGTTCTTTGAATGAAAACCAGGATAAGCTATAGAAAATACGTTATCGATTCAATGTGCAATTGGCATTACTGATAATATTTCACTATTAGTAAGCTACTACATATGAGCGATAAGTACCTAAGCAAAACATGGCTTTTAGCGCTCACGCCGCGCTGCTCGTAAAAAACATCCGCGATTTTTTGTTTATAATGTACGACTGAATGAAACAGCTATGGAGTGGTACAGTACCTTTACTTCTGTGGGAGTGGGAATTACCCAGACTAAAAATTGAAACATAATAAAACATGTTTGTGGTTAGCTTATCTTTTTGATATGATGACAAATAAAGCTTCATTGAAGAAAATATGATATTTTTGAACATACAAGTCATGGCATTTTTTTAAACATAATCGTCAATATTATAATTATACTGGCCGATCCGAATCCGTCAAACACTAACCTAGAGAAAACGGATGATGGATCTAGTGTGGAAACTATTTAAATAAATAAAAATAATTACCAGATTATTTTAATTATTTCCACTCACCTATTAGCTGCAACTGGCCTTTGTGCACGTCTTTTGTGGTGGTTAGATACCGGTCCACGTAGTCTACAGTCAGGTGGAACGTCTCTCTGTGCAGTTTGTACACCTCGCACACCTGGAGCAACAGATACGACGTCACTTAGTGTTACGAAGAATGCTATTTTCAACAAAACCATATGGACTATATGGTTGTGTTGTTGACTGTACTTGGCAGTGTGCTAAACTTGAAAGTTGTTACAGCTTAGCCAAGCTTTTAGTTAAGCGTAAAAATTAGCTGGAACGAGCGAGCGGTTGCCGAGCTTAGCGTTGAACGCAGGAATGATAAAACCAATCAATATTCATGTTATGCTGGTTATGTATTACTGGTTTATTTAGTGAAATTAGATGGGTATACATATTTATTCTACACGAAACATCACAAAAATTACAATAATAAACAAAAATGAAACAATGCCTATGAAACGTGCGCGGCGCTACTTAACTAAAAGAGGGTAGCTCAGGTAAAATAATTTTGTATTGTCGTCTATTCCCGTGCACAACCCGTGTTTCACAAAAAAGAGTGATGTCACTTCTCTGTACTTCCATACTGATTTTGAAGAAGCATACTTTTGAGAGATCATAAAAAGTATGTCATATGTTGGCGATGTCATCATTTCTATTGAATTCGTGGTCGCCAAACTATCCTAACTTGGTATGACACAGAGATATATCGCTGTAGGCGTGAGATAGAGTCTGTACAGGCGAGTCTCTGTCGATATTTATTGTTTATCGATAGATATACAACAGCCCTTTATCTGTTCATAGTTTTGACATACAAAATCTATAAATTAGGGATGTATTGAGTAAGTTTTCCAGATGATAACAAATAAGCTTAGTTTTTCAATTAAAATTATAACAACAGATGAAGTTCGGAGATTCAACAAGGATATAACAAGAGTTCCTATCCTAAGCGGGCAAATAATGACGACCAATTAATAAAGATGAGAATAGTCGAAGACAAACGCTATGAGGTCATTGTGCAATACAAATTGGATCTTTTGTCGCTGCCGTTAGTTCCGCGTTGTCATCAAACCGAGGTTTCGGAGGACGACGCGACGTCACCACGACAAAAATGCAGAATGTATTTTATAGGTGTAACTAGGTAGACATAACTCGACAATTTTGATCTAGGTGCTTTATAACAGACAGAAGTATGGACTTTTCTATCATAAAAAGAAAATAAAATGTGCTTAACCTATAGCTTTTTCGAATACTTGAGAATTGAAAATGATTTTCTTAAAATAATAAATTATTTTGGCAACTGTTGGTGATTCTAAAAATATTCTAACATCGATCTAAATGGGAAACGATCATACAGACGTCCGCGTCAGTCAGTCACCAGGTTACTTTTTAAAAGACATCAAATTATAACTCTGTTAGAGAGTTGTGCAATGCTGCGCTGTGCACTGTGGCACTACTGTGCAGGGTATAAATTATAAATGCAGGCAGGAGTGTACATAAAATCCGAATCTTTATACACATAGCCGTTAAAAAGATTACAAAGTATGAATTCCTTATTAGAACGTTTGGCCAAATCACCGTATGTGACGATAAATGTTATCACGGGCCAAATACGCGAAGGTGAGCAACTTAAGGTCAGTGTGCACGTATTGTTATAAGAAAGGAGGGCTCAAGCTGCATGCTATAATGTAGAGACGTTACCCTCTGGTAGGGGAAAGAATGGGGTTGTCGTTTAGAGCAACCGTTAGATATTACATTATTTGTAAAGAGACAATCTAGAGAACAGAGCACGCTGCTTTATAGCAGTCGCAAAACTTCAGTAAAATTCTCGGAACTAACTGGGAACCTTGGAANCTAAGGAGCTCCCAGGTAGAGTAAACATTACGACGAAAAAAAATAGCTACGAGACGTATTTTAGGGGAAAAGATAAAAATAAAATTCACATTGAAGTGTCAAGAATACCTTTAAAATATTGTGTGCTAGTGTTACAACCCCTCAAAATTTAGCGAGAATAGCCACGAGTTTCAAAAGTTATAAATCCGATACGGACAATTGAAATAAAATGCATCAGCCGAGACATTCTAGGGTGAAGCATTCGTATCCTATCGACGCTGCACCCACTCCACAGGCGCCACATACGGCAAAATTTATGCATTTTAATATTAAAACTACCAAGCCCGCATACGTCTGAATATTTTCGGCATGCATTTATACAACTGATAAACTTTATTCCTCTTTATTTTTACTTTTGTTACGGTAATTTTGAATGTACGTGTATGTATGTTACATAGCGCGTAGTAAATAGGTAACCTTGTGTAAGGTGACTTTATAAGGTGTAAATGACCTGAAAATTATTTATTGTATAGGTGTACCAGAATCTCATGGCAAATGGGGAAAATAAACTTTGTTGAGTGCAATACTGGGGAAATTGGATTAAACGATCTTGATACTTTTTAATTTTTTATTTATGACTTTAATATTAATGAACATGAAGTACGAATGGCTACCTATACATTTTATATCTTATCTGTATACTTATAACTTATCACTTCATTCAGAACTAGAAAACGATTCTAAGAACTCCACTTGCATTTCTTGTTCTTCAATAGATGATCAAGTTAAAGAGGTTTATTATACAGGGTGGAAAATGCCACCTGGAGGGAAAGTACTCTTAATACTGTAGATAGAAAATTTTACTGAAAGAAAACATTCCTTAATTTTTGAAAAAAAAAAAGAGAACTGCATTCAAAGAATTTCGTTTTTTTTTCGAAAATTCATTACTATATACCATACAATAAAATTTTCTGTAACATTATCAAAATAATTTAAGATTTCATGGTTTTCCTTTCATTTGATTTATCAAGTTTGTTAGAGAGATTTCATCCTTATACTTAACCCTAACGATCGATGTAATAAAAATACAGAATGTAATTCCACCCTGTATAATATAAATCGCTCTTTCAGCATTTCAATTACTCAAACTTGCTTGATGAAATCTTTTTCAATTTTCTTTACATGGTCATAACTTTTTCACTATTCGTCTGCACTAATGTATGAAAATAAAACACCTGAAAACCCCGATAAAGCAGCTATTAGGTAAGAATAATTTAAAAATAAGGTAGCGCATTTTCTTACATAACTTTTCAATTCCTATCATTGGAGGTCCGAAAATATTTCCCATACAATTTGATATCATAATGATCATTCTTCATAAAAAATTTAAAACCTACATAATTATTTAAAATCATAATCATTGATATTCATAATATCACTAATCATACACTTAGTTTTTACTAATATTTGTTTTCATATATTTTTCTATACTAATGATCGAAACTCATAATCATTCGAATAAATAACTATAATATTCATAAATGTGATGTATCCTAATATTTGTTTTCATAAATTTATTACTCATAAGTATATTTATCCATATTATTGAAAATCATGATGTCTATATTCGTATTAAATCGTATTTTAACATTAAATTAATTTGAAATGGTCCAAAACAGGCAATATTTTGTGCCACAAAACTAACGTGACAGAAACGAATCGCTGCAAAACCGACTCCACGTAGTCTTGTCTGCCCTACCCCTAGAGTGTAATTTAAAAGCCGGAGGCGCGGAGGGAGGGCAGCCCTCGCCCGCTGTAACGAGGCTCAGGCGCCCGGGTGAGCTGGAGCGGCTGAGGCTGGTCGCCGAGGCGCCGAAGGCGCCGATGGCGATCCAAAAAGCCGAAGCTGCGGAAGCAAGCGTGGGTGCCTGAGCCTCGTTACGCAAGGGCGGAAGGGCTGCACATCCCGCAGCGCCGGAGACGAGGAGATACCAATGCATGCTGCATGCTTGCTTTCATGCTGCATGCTCTGCATGCTTATCTACTCTATTAAATTATATATGATTTTTTTAAAGATACGAGTATGTCTGTTATAAAGTAAATTATTCTGAACAACAACATTATGAGTTGAAGTATGTTCTTAGTAACAACATTATTAATTAAAACAATATGATCAATGAATGTTATGAAGAAAAAAGATCTGAAAATAAAAATTATGTATTTTAAATGGTTCTTGGTAGTAACAGTATTGATAAAAAAATTATGATTACTAACTGTTATGAGCTCCGATGGTAGTAATAAAAATGTATGAATAAAAAAAGTATGAAAAATAAAATTATGAAGAGAGATTATTATGAACACAAATCGGTAGTAAGACAAAGAATAGGATTTAGAATTTTATGTGAGCCAATATAGAACCTAAAAATAAACATAACCCACCCTCCTTCTGACGCAGTTAGGTAATAAACTAAATGTATCAAAACATTTCACTCCAACTTACTGTCAAATCAACGACGCGCTTTAAAATCAAAGATTGAGTTTGAATTAAGCCCTATTTTACAATACACATTGAAAACAATATGATTTGCTTGAGCTTTTTCGACTTTTTCACAAAAATAACAAATAGGCATGAAGAGATTACAAAATTTCTGCAGCGGCTGACAGATCTCTTGATTTACTTTGACAGGTGACAGTAAAGCCATAGACAATGGCCATATGAAAAACACACTTTTCCAATATTTTTGTTTGCCATGAGATTCTGGTACACCTATAGTAGTGAAAAACATGCACAATGCAATTTACAAGCTTATAAGCGGGCTATAGAATCTGTACCAACTTTTTACTTAGAAATTCGCAAACATCTTTCACCGTCGTGTCCCTTATTCAGAGTATCGTGATCATTACGAGAAGTGAAATTGAAAGACACACGACTGAGCTGGCCGATTTAATGGTATCGTGAAGACAGATGAGCGGGCAACAAATAAATCATTTAATTAATTGATTAACACGGGAAAACGCCTCATTAGGTTTGTGACACTGGCAACACTTTCGGAATTTTAACATCCCTTGTTTAATGTATTGGTGAAACTGCGATCTATTTAATGGCTCTTGCTTCATGTCCTGACAGACACACAAAGCTATCGGCCGCTTGGTTAGAATAGGTTCTGAAAAAAATTTTGTGTGACAAAATCTGCTGCCGACCTAGTTCTCAGAAACATTCGGTTGCCGACGTTGTCGTAGCAAAAGCTTTATTTTATTGGAGATAGGTTTCATAGGATTTGAGATTCTAGCTAGGCTTGCACTCAGTATTTTCGAATACTGACTGCCACAAGGACCTACCTAACAACTAAATAGGCGGATTGCTTGTTGCCCCGTCGTCTTTTCGTGCCAGTCAAAATATGCATCCCGGTTCTGAGAGGAGGTGGTTACTTTCATGTATTATTCAATACTCAAAATCATTGATCGATGATGACATGCATATTTTGCTATTCATAGTTCTAACGTAGACCAGCGAGATTGTAGACAGAAATCTGTATTTGAATACATTATACCATTCATCCGAGAAATATTTCCTTGTAATCTAATACAGTTCCCCGTGTTTTTATTGGGATTATTTTGGAGTTGGATGAATGAAAAGCCAGGTATGCTTCTGACCTTGACTTGTTATATTTAGTCTAAGAGCTAGACTGTAAAGTAATTTTAGTGTCCGAGATCTCAGAATAAATACAAATTGGTATTTATTTTAGCCTTTTTAAAGTCGCTATTAAACAATTTGTATTAATAATTAATTCGGAGTAACATGCACATACCGAAACAGTCAAAGCACGATCGCTATTTACTAAGGTACTTTTTGTGGCTGAACAAAAACGCCGGTTCATCCTCCCAACAATGTAACGGTAACTCGTGATCAACAAATGAACTTCAGCAGAGGTATTCTGAATTTCCCCCTTGCTTTTGATAACTATAATTAAATTATAAAAATCATATCAGTTTTTGGCATGGATGAGGATGTTAATCATTAGGAAACAACCGGGAAAAAGTACACGATCGATGTGCAACACCACAGATGTTTTAATAGTTAAGGCATAAGTTACTCCTTTTCGTTACCAAGATAATATTGTTACGTAAATAGAACCGCGTTTATAGGGTTGTACAAATAAGTTTATTTTGCCCACTTTCCTAGTAACTAAGCACTTGTACTACGATATTATCGTAATGTGCATTAAACAAAAATCGTAGCAATTAACTTGTGAGAAAAAAACCTTTTGTCAAATAAGATAATTAGCAATTGAACACTTTCAATTAAGAAATGATTAAGTCGTCAACGTACAATGGCCTTAATTACTAAAAGCTCAACCCATTTATTAATTTATCAAATAACGTAATGACTCAAAGTTTGCAAAATACCACCAAAGCTTAACTAGACTATTTTCCCACATAAGATAACGATAGCATGACTCAGTCGGGAATCGTGTAGCTTTCTATTATATTAAATATTCCGATCCATTAGCAGACAATTCTTAATTTCTGTTAAAATATTCTGAATTTGGTCAAACATACGACCTTACATATTAGTAAGACTGTAGCCGAAAACAGCAGACATTACGCAGTCGGTCGGGTTCGGGGCGGTTCGTGAATAGTTATCAGAATGTATTCAAATCAATAAAGCACTGAGGCCCGAAGAGGTTACGCGAGCATGGAGTCGTGAATAAAAATCGCCAGCACTAAAGACGACCTAAAAATAACGGTCGCTTGAGACAGCTCGCCACTTTACCTAAACTGTCCAGACTACAAGACTTTACTTCAGACTCCGCGAGAAATTGTCACGATAGTCACAGTGCGTTTATCACGCATCTATTACCTACTAATCTATTTTTTGTTCAGACGTCATCAAAGTCTAATTTGTAACAATAAAATCATTAAATTACTAACTCACATAACATATTGACCTCCTAATGCTTAGGCAATGCAAAGTACATACAAACATGTGGACTAGACAGTTTAAAAATAGTCATTAGCAGCAGAAATATAGCTTAATTATTTTTGGGTAACAACACAAGTATTAAAACAATATTTGCATGTTAATTAAAAGTAAGTTATCAAACTAAAATCTACAAAAAGGTAAATCTATTAAGGATAGTGCAGAATGAAACATGTTGGTTCTGGAGAGGTCATTGAACACTGTAAAAAAGAGGTCAATGAACCTCCTATTACATCATTACTACATGTAAATCCATCTTTGAAAAAGTGCTGTATCTGCAAAATTTTGTGCTAAGAATGTTAGGTGTAATTGTGCTACATTAGTTTGAATGTCACTTACCTTCACCTAGGACTTCAAGTGCAGCATGTAAAAACAATTTTATATTATGACTCATGTTCTTAAAATATCAATAAACTATTTAAATATGCATTTTTTATTTATTGCTGTAAAGCTGTCTATTTTTTAATAGGTGTAATTAATATTTCTATCAATGAAAACTTAAGGAACATCAGATAGTATACTCAAGAACAAAACATGGAAGCTTACCTCATTGAGCCAGTCCAGAAGGATGGCCCTCATGCGTGGCTGCAGATTAGGGTGCCTGTCAAACATGTTGGGGCTCTTCTTGGTCTTGGAGCGGGCGTCACACTCACACATGCTGTTCCACACGTCTGAGGGGTCGGCCCAGGACAGCCCGGGCAGGGGACATTTGCGTTTGGGCAGCAGGGAGTACTCAGATTTATTTGTACTGGAATTGTAGTTCTGGTATAATTCATTCCTAACGGACAAGGACAGGAGTGAATCAGTTACTTCATTCAGAAATTAGAAGAGTATTATTGTAATAATAAAGTAGTAAAGTTGGGCAGTAGAATAAGTTATTGCTGTGCAGGAGTTTAAAGTACAAGTCAAGTAAGACTTACCTATGTCTCTTGTTTGAATGAGGAGTGGACTCTCCTCTAGCAACATTTTCTAATGGACTCAACACACAATTGGGCAATTCAGGTATGCTTTGTGGGCTCAACAAACTGTCAGCGTTAAAGTCTAAGTCAGTATAAACACTCCTAGGCTGGTCTAGGTTTCCATATCCTTCGTCATCGCTGGAACAGGATGAGGATTCCACAACAACATTGTGTGCTGGTTGGTCATACAGTTCTTCTTCTAATTTGGACGACATTTTCGCCGGAGGCATATTTTCAACCTAAAATTAGAGGCATGAGTATAGAGGAATAACTTAGAGCAGCTTAGACTTTGATGAAAGGATACAAACCTCATCGTCACAGGAGTTCCTTTTACGTTTTAAGTTCATACGTCTCTCATTGTCTTCACTGGAAGAACTGCAAACAATTGGTGACATGACTGTGTAAACAATACTTATCAAGGTCGTCAAGCAAACGTGTGTAAGCATCAGCTGGTTACATACCCAGTTTGTGCCATTGTAGGTGGGACAAAAACGCTGGCACTCTATCTCCTGTGCCTAAAACATATTGCACATTATATTTCTGTCCTCATAATAGCCGTAAATCATTTGCAAAATAAGGATTAATGACCTAAAAATAACCGCATGTCTTGTTCACATTGCAAATAGGGTTATGTCACTTGACAACTGTATTGAGAGCACAAATCCGAATTTTTTCAATAACTGAGTTTATCTAGTATAATTTTAGATCCAATAGGCACCCATAAGTTCCACATATCATGCTAAATTTGCGTATAAGTCGCTCTGGCAATGGTGTAAACCTTCAGCGTGCCCCCTGCTGATTGGCGGGAGATTTTTTTCTTGAGCACTTTTAGACACGAAATAATGATAAAATCGACTATTTATTGCATCCAATGTTCACTAGAATAACTAAAGAACCCATTGATTGCGTAAAAATGTAACATTTAGCTAATCAGCTGTCTATAAAAATGCCACGAATCCGTCACAATCGCGCGCGAAATCCTCCGTCAGCGCCATTAGACACGTCGATAGCTTGGGTTTCTCGCCCCATCCACTTTTGGATATTGATAAAAATAGCACATAGATGACATGACACATTCACAATACTAATCTCAAATTGAAATAGAGCACTTTTGTACGATATTCTAGCTGTAATAAGGTCATAACCGTTGATCATCTAATTGGCTTGGCTTATCGCCCCCCTAAGCTTTATAACCTAAATTATTAGTAAAGAATAAAAATTTAAACGAAATATTATCCGACAGAAGATGCATTATATCCTAAATATGTAAAATATTATACTCGAACATACCTGGTCATTCAAAAAATATAACAAATACCACAATGCAAAATTTCCTTGAGCACTAGATATGGGATAACGACTTGAGCCCCGTATCATGCAAATTTTACAATATTTTTAGCACACACACTTTCATCAACACTGAGGATTAGTAAGAAGATTACACAAATGGTAATTATTTCAAGTTACACATCTCTTTTCAGCTTTTCACGGCTCGATAACGCCCGGCTTTCCGCGCGAAAATGTCGCGGTAAAACTTCGGTTCTCAGCAAGTGGACTAGTGGCTATATTCAGTGTTATTTTCTACTGAAATGAAATGTCACTTGTCATAATGTTTCAATTCACGCAGAAATAGTTTTCAGGCTATTTATATGAACATTGATGCCTATGAATTTCTATTCATCAAAATGATCAAAAACACAAACATGATAGCAAAACCTTTACAAGGTTTTAATTAATTACGCGCTTAAGACTCTATTTGTGATTTATAATGAAGGAAATATTCTAAAGTTATTATACTGCAACGAAAAAATGAAATTGACTCAACACAAAAGCTTTTTATGTGGAAAAAGTAATAATTCATAAATTAATAAAATATTTTTACAATACCTTTCCGTATAACGAAATTTTTACGTAAATTCAATGCTCGCTTGTGATTGGTCGATTTTTAACGGTAGCGCCATATTGATGGCGTTGGTAGCTGAAATTAGAATCTTGATGTTGGTCAACATGAAATTGCTAACTTCATGTCATACTACAGCTGGGCGCCAGCTGATAGAAAATTGAGCGAGAAAAGTCAATAAAGGTGCGCTATTTCTGTATTGATAACGTGGCGGAGTAGTAAGATTGCAAGAATATGTTACAATAACAGGTGAATCTGACCTATTTATGATAAATCGAGATGGCTGCACAAAATATTGCGGTCAAATTGTGCGGAGTGCTTCAGGCCCAGTCTGAGGAAGGTAGGTACTATGATAATAGCAATGTCCTTTCTGTTTTAATATGTTTCTGATTTGCTAAGGATGCTGAAACCTCTTTACAGAAGTAACTGCACACGAGTGGCGGTTATTAGGGCAGGAGCAGGATGGATCTCAAGTGTTGACATGGATCTCTAAAGATAACCACGATAAAGAAGTATTGAACATCGGCGTGTATACAAACAAAACTAAAACATTGAGTGTTCTTCATAAGTTCGATGAGAAATTGAATATCGTGCAGGCGTCAGTGAATGCTACTCGAAGCTTGTTGGTTTATGTGGTCAAGTTATTGCCTGAGGATGACAATGACATCAAGGAACCATTGTACTGTCCATATTTGATTTGTCTCTTGAATGAAAAGGACAGAGTACCAGTAGAGGTCGAGGAGAGCTCCACCAAACAGATTATGGTCCAGTATGTGTATGGGAAAAGCAATAAATACAGCCCGGGCATTAGAAATGATAGATTTCTGTTATTCAAACATCTTGAATGTAAGTATTTTATATTCTCTAGTTATTCTTCATATTACATGATTAATTTGTGGTTGACTCTCTGCCAGTCCATACCATCGAGCATTAAGTCCACCACAGTGCATTGTATGTATGTGTGCTAAAAGTTTAAATAAATAAATAAATTCTACTATAAATTTGTATTTTCTTAAAGGTATTAAGATTTACCGGAGCCCAATGTTCCTGAATGAATGTGACGATGGCACAGAAAAGTGGGGTTTTGATGGCATTTATACAGAACCTGAGAAGATTGTCAAGGTTTTTTCTTGGGCACAGTGGGATTGTGTTAATCAGGTAACTAATACTTCAAGAACTATACAGACATGTTAGATAATTATCTGCAATCCTTGATGATGTTTTTGTGGTATTATTATTAAAAAGGATTTGTTTAGAATTCAATTACATACTTTGTTACTAAAATTTTCACTTCAGCTGGCACAGAAACAGAAAATAAATTAGGTACTTCTGCAAATCGTAATACATTTATTATTTATCCTAAATTTATTTTCTGTGCTAATATTCACAGGTTCTCTACTACATCCACTACCGACAGCCTTCCCAGAGCTTTGCTGAGGGCGAAGAAGTGAAGTCACCATCAGAAATGACTCCAACTTTGTCGGCATTGCAATTTCATGCTGATTTGCCGCATGAGACTGTTGTATGTATTATAAATATTTTCATTTCATTTATAATTATTTTTAAAATTAACTTACTAATATCTTATCTTAGGGTGTCCCCTAAACAACTAATATTTTATATGAAATATATTTTGATCCCTATGCCTATTGTTTTTAGCTGAACATTCCCCTGAGCCACGGTAATAATATCATACAGTATTGTAACTTCATATAAACAGACGAAACGAGAACTGCGAGAACTTTCTTTCGAAATTCAAATCTCGGTATGCGCTCGGTATGCAAAAGTCGGGGGTGTCGCGAATGTGCCGAATGGACGTCGGTGCCCAAATGTTAAAAATGACAAAACTGATTGCATTTGAGTGACCGTCATTTACGGTCAAATTGTTCAAAAACTAATCAAATTGTCATTTTCAGTCAGTTTGATTTAAAATGAAAATTATATTGTATTAAACCNTTTTTTTGAAGTCGGTTGAAAATATGGCCGAGTTGGAATACTGTATAGATAGTATTACCGTGCCTGAGCCTGCCTCACGTGCCGAGCTCGAGCGAGGGCGCGGCTTGCGGCGCGTACGAGGATCTATCCTATTTTGATCTCTATGCCAGAGGGCTAACCCTATTTTGTGATCTGAGCCTATGTTTTTAGCTGGCCAATGGTCACTCTATTTTGAGCCCTATGCCTATTGTTTTTAGCTTAACATTCCCCTGAGCCTGCCTCACGTGCCGAGCTCGAGCGAGGGCGCGGCGTGCGGCGCGTACGAGGATCCATCCTATTTTGATCTCTATGCCAGAGGGCCAACCCTATGTTTTTAGCTGGCCAATGGTCACTTTATTTTGAGCCCTATGCCTGTTGTTTTTAGCTGAACATTCCCTTGAGTCTCCCCCACGTGCCGAGCTCGAGCGAGGGCGCGGCGTGCGGCGCTTACGAATGTTCATCCAATTTTGAGTCCTATGCTAAAGGGCCAACCCTATTTTGTGACCTGTGCCTATGTTTTTAGCTGGCCAATGGTCACTCTATTTTGAGTTCTATGCCCATTGTTTTTAGCTGAACATTCCCCTGAGCCTGCCGCACGTGCCAAGCTCGAGCGAGGGCGCGGCGTGCGGCGCTTACGAAGGTTCATACAAATTTTAGTCCTATGCTAGAGGGCCAACCCTATGTTTTTAGCTGGCCAATGGTCACTCTATTTTGAGCCCTATGCCTATTGTTTTTAGCTGAACATTCCCTTGAGTCTCCCCCACGTGACGAGCTCGAGCGAGAGCGCGGCGTGCGGCGCGTACGAGGATCCATCCTATTTTGATCTCTATGCCAGAGGGCCAACCCTATGTTTTTAGCTGGCCGATGGTCACTCTATTTTGAGCCCTATGCCTATTGTTTTTAGCTGAACATTCCCTTGAGCCTGCCACACGTGCCAAGCTCGAGTGAGGGCGCGGCATGCGGCGCGTACGAGGACGATCCCGTCCCGTTGCGCGTGCACGACTGCAGCCTCGACCTGCAGATACTGTGCGACCAGCGCGGCGTGCTGTGCATATGCCACCATTATCTGTATAAGGTGAGAGAACTATGCTCGTTTTCACCATCAATTCCTAATTTTTAAGTGCACATAACAGGAATTTTGTTTTCATAGGGGTCCCTTAAAAATTAGGGATTGATGATGAAAAAGGGCACTAGACTAATTATTACAGCAGTGTTCCGCAAACTTTGTGTTCAAGGTACATCTAGGAAAACGAAACTTTTTGCGTACACCACACATGAAAAGTAAATTTTTAAGTAATTACCTTTCTTAGTCTTACCCTTACTTACTTACTTGACCCTTCGTTAATTCGTTCGTTTCAGCCAAATGACGTTCACTGCTGGACAAAGGCCTCCCCCAAGGATTTCTACAATGCACGGTCCTGCGCTGCCCGCATCCAGGCTCTTCCCGCGACCTTTACCAGATTGTCGGTCCACCTAGTAGGAGGCCTGCCTACTTATCCTAACCTAAGATAAACTTATTTTTCCGAGGAACATCATCTAATGACCACGGTACACCCTTTGCGGAACACTGTATTACAGGTTAACCAAGACTTGTACGAAGGCCTGGTTCAGACACAGCTATAATCGGGCGGTTGCTGGGGAGTTCTCGTACATTTGCATCAAACCGTAACCGCACGCTTACCGCCTCATTGCCTCACCAATGATAACCACCAAGAAATCACGCGGCTGTTTGAACCAGGAGTACATACAGGTTGTGAATACAGTCGGGCTATGGTCTCCTTCATTGTACTCTAAAGCTTCAACAACATCAACGAGTGCAGATCGCCTTCGCCGGCGCGATCAAAAGCCGATGACAGGTCGTGCGACCTATGACAGTTCACGCGACTTGTCATTGGCCTTTGATCGCGCCGGCTAGGTGGAGGAGGAGGCGATCTGCATGCGTTGGTGTGGTTGAAGCATAAGGCTGGGCTGCACCATCTTACTTTAACTTTAACGAACGTCAAAAGTCTGTCAATTTTCATACAAAAAACACCGGTTAATAACGGTTAAAATAAGATGCTGTAACAGTTTAAAAATGTAATTTTATTCTAGCCACTCGACGACTCCACGACCTCCCTGGTGTTGGAAGACAGCGCTGACCTTAAAGACTCTGGGGTCAACTTCGCGTACTCAATAACGTTGCTGCAACACGGCTGCGTGGTGCATAGTGTCGTGCCCGACCTCCCCTGGGCACGAGCCAAGTCGCTGCGGCCTTCGTACACTCTTTACGCGGGTGAGTCACGACATCACTAATGTTGTAAGAAAGCGCTGTTCTCAAAGAGTCTGGGGTCAACTTTGCTTAGTCCATAACGTTGCTGCAACACGGCTGCGTGGTGCATAGCGTTGTACCTGACCTTCAAGATCAAGATCAAGATCAAAAGTATTTATTCAGTTTAGACCACATGTGGCACTTATGAACGTCAAAATAGTATTATAGAAATTAATAAAAAAAGAAAAGGTAGCCCTTATGGGGCACTTTACATGTCTCCTTATCTTTTGGGCCCTACCAGCGCTTCGAGACAAACATATGGCAAGTGCTGAGAAGAAACGCCGGAACAAACTCAGTCACCACTAATTGCCAGGAATTATCTAACGGTAGGAATAACCAAATTCGAGTACATCAAATATGTGAAGACTGAACTGACCACGCATCCTTGTCATCAATATAGTCCCCAACCTTCCCTAGGCTACTCCGAAAAACGTTAACTGAAGTTTTAAATGTTGCCATCCCTGCCACGTAAAGCGAGATGCCAGCGTGAGCGACGGTGACAAATAGACAATAAACTACTTACCTAAACAACACTGGAAGACAACTGGCGTAAAGCGATTGCGCATTATGTCCATAATAAACATACTGCTACTAGAATCGGCAATAAGGCTCAATGACAATATTGATTAGCATTGCTGTAATTCAAGTGGGCATCTAGAATGATCTAGATATAAGCATACTCGTAAGTTACTTTCTTTATATATTATTTGTGATTGTTACTTGTTGTGTATGCCTAATAATAAATAAATAAATAAATGGCCTGTTTTTACAGTAATATATTTTTTGACAGATAACCACCTCCTAGTCAACATCCCAATGCTGTTCACCCATCTAATCGACATCAGTCTGTACCACGAGCCATGCTGCCACATCGTGCTTCCATTAGAAGAGACAGAAGGCGGCCCATCCCTTGGACCCCTGCTGGGCTGGGGACCCCACGCCATGGTGGATCTGAAGACGCTGGACGTGGTCACCATGACAGTCCAGGAGAAGGACTTAGCAGCCACGTTCAAGAGTGCCACGGTGGTTGAGAATAAGCTGGCGATCATGCATTATTTGATCCTGCATGAGGGCAACTTTGAGTTGGCTGAAGAGGTATGTTGTTTGAATTCTGTAACATTAGTATCATTTTTACGTGGATTTTGAGTTTGGTAGGTAATAACCAAACATTTTAGTCTTAGATAAGTGCCTTCTGTAAATCCTCTCTCTGGCATATATCCTATCTACATGAAAGCAGCGTGATGCGACTGCCGTTAAAAAGACGGATAGATGACGGCTGGGGGAAAGAATGAGAGATATAAATGGAATATAAAGGAACTTCGAAGTTCAGGATTATGTGCAGTGTTAGGTCTCCCACTTATTGCACCAACGATCAAGTGAAGGTCGCGGGAAGCGCATGGATGCGAGTAGCGCAGGAGCGCTCGTTATGAGAATCCTTGGGAANAGTCATGTTAGATAATAATAAACTGTAATTCATGATGATAATTAGGTAATATTATTAGTTAATTTTATTAAAAAGGATTTGTTGAGAATTCAACTTACATTTTTACAAAAATTTTTACTTCAGCTGGCACAGTCTAACAAACAGAAAATAAATTAGGTAGGTAGTTCTGCAAATTGTTATACATGTATTATTTATCCTAACTTTATTTTCTGTACTAATATTCACAGGTTCTCTACTACATCCACTACCGACAGCCTTCCCAGAGCTTTGCTGAAGGCGAAGAAGTGAAGTCACCATCAGAAATGACTCCAACTCTGTCAGCATTGCAATTTCATGCTGATTTGCCACATGAGACTGTTGTATGTATTATAACTATTTTCATTTACAATTATTTTTAAAATTAACTTATTAATTAATATCTTATCTTAGGGTGTCCCCTAAACAACTAATATTTTATATGAAACATATTTTGAGCCCTATGCCTTTTTAGCTTAACATTCCTTTAAGCCTCCCGTCCATGAACTGCACATTATATTTTGAGCCCTATACCTATTGTTTTTAGCTGAACATTCCTCTGAGCCTGCCTCACGTGCCGAGCTGGAGCGAGGGCGCGGCGTGCGGCGCGTACGAGGATTCATCCTATTTTGATCTCTATGCCAGAGGGCCAACCCTATTTTGTGACCTGTGCCTATGTTTTTAGCTGGCCAATGGTCACTTTATTTTGAGCCCTATGCCTATTGTCTTTAGCTGAACATTCCGAGCATACGTGCCGAGCCCGAGCGAGGGCGCGGCTTGCGGCGCTTACGAAGGTTCATCCAATTTTGAGTCCTATGCTAGAGGGCCAACCCTATTTTTGTGACCTGAGCCTATGTTTCTAGCTGGCCAATGGTCACTCTATTTTGATCCCTATGCCTATTGTCTTTAGCTGAACATTCCGAGCATACGTGCCGAGCTCGAGCGAGGGCGCGGCGTGCGGCGCGTACGAGGATCCATTCTATTTTGATCTCTATGCCAGAGGGCCAACCCTATGTTTTTAGCTGGCCAATGGTCACTCTATTTTGAGTCCTATGCCTATTGTTTTTAGCTGAACATTCCCTTGAGTCTCCCTCACGTGCCAAGCTCGAGCGAGGGCGCGGCGTGCGGCGCGTATGAAGATGATCCCGTCCCGCTGCGCGTGCACGACTGCAGCCTCGACCTGCAGATACTGTGCGACCAGCGCGGCGTGCTGTGCATATGCCACCACTATCTGTATAAGGTGAGAGAGCTCGTTTTCACCATCAATTCCTAATTTTTAAGTGCACATAACAGGAATTTTGTTTTCATAGGGGTCCCTTAAAAATTAGGGATTGATGAAGAAAAAGGGCACTAGACTATCTATTACAGCAGTGTTCCGCAAACTTTGTGTTCAAGGTACATCTAGGAAAACGAAACTTTTTGATGATACACCACACATGAAAAGTCAGTTTTTAAGTAATTAGGTACCTTTATTAGTCTTACCCTTACCTACTTACTCTTCGTTCGTTCGTTTCAGCCAAATGACGTCCACTGCTGGACAAAGGCCTCCTCCAAAGTTTTCCACAATGCACGGTCCTGCGCCAAAATAAAATACAAAAAACACCGGTTATGGTTATAGTCACGGCTAAAATAAGATGCTGTAACTCAGCCTAAAAATGTAATTTTATTCTAGCCACTCGACGACTCCACGACCTCCCTGGTGTTGGAAGACAGCGCTGACCTTAAAGACTCTGGGGTCAACTTCGCGTACTCAATAACGTTGCTGCAACACGGCTGCGTGGTGCATAGTGTCGTGCCCGACCTCCCCTGGGCGCGGGCCAAGTCGCTGCGGCCTTCGTACACTCTTTACGCGGGTGAGTCACGACATCACTAATGTTGTAAGAAAGCGCTGTTCTCAAAGACTCTGGGGTCAACTTTGCGTAGTCCATAACGTTGCTGCAACACGGCTGCGTGGTGCATAGCGTTGTACCTGACTTTCAAGATCATGATCAAGATCAAAAGTATTTATTCAGTTTAGACCACAAGTGGCACTTATGAACGTCAAAATAGTATTATAGAAAATAATAAAAAAAGAAAAGGTAGCCCTTATGGGGCACTTTACATGTCTCCTTATCTTTTGGGCCCTACCAGCGCTTCGAGACAAACATATTTTATGGCAAGTGCTGAGAAGAAACGCTGGAACAAACTCAGTCACCACTAATTGCCAGGAATTATCTAACGGTAGGAATAACCAAATTCGAGTACATCAAATATGTGAAGACTGAACTGACCACGCTTCCTTGGAATCGGCAATAAGGCTCAACGACAGTATCGATTAGCATTGCTGTAATTCAACCTGGCTTCAAGAATGGCATGACATGCATTGTACAGAAATATATTTTTTCACAGATAACCACCTCCTAGTCAACATCCCAATGCTGTTCACCCATCTAATCGACATCAGTCTGTATCACGAGCCATGCTGCCACATCGTGCTTCCCTTAGAAGAGACAGAAGGCGGCCCATCCCTTGGACCCCTGCTGGGCTGGGGACCCCACGCCATGGTGGATCTGAAGACGCTGGACGTGGTCACCATGACAGTCCAGGAGAAGGACTTAGCTGCCACGTTCAAGAGTGCCACGGTGGTTGAAAATAAGCTGGCCATTATGCATTACCTGATCCTGCATGAGGGCAACTTTGAGTTGGCTGAAGAGGTATGTTGTTTGAATTCTGTATCATCAGTACCATTTTTACATGGATTTTAAGTTTGGTAGGTAGTAACCAAACATTTTAGTCTTAGATGAGTGCCTTCTGTATCCTCTCTCTGGCATATATCCTATCTACATGAAAGCGGCGTGATGCGACTGCCGTTAAAAAGACGGATAGATGGGAAAAAGAATGAGAGATATAAATGGAATATAAGGAACTTCGAAGTTCAGGATTATGTGCAGTGTTAGGTCTCCCACTTATTGCACCAACGATCAAGTGATGGTCGCGGGAAGCGCATGGATGCGAGTAGCGCAGGAGCGCTCGTTATGAGAATCCTTGGGAAAGCCTTTATCGAGCAGTGGACGTCTTTTGGTTGAAACGTGAACTTATTGTTTGAAGTTATGTATTTTTGGACCTTACTTATTGTCTTGTGTTCCCGCCAGCTGATCTCGTGGATGTGCGTGAATCAACGCGTGGGCCCGGGCTTGGAACGCGTACTGCAAGAGTTCCTGGTAGCCGGTGCCTTCGCGCTCACGCGGCGCACGTTGCCTGCGTCTGCTCTGCCACTCATGCGTATGCTGCCTTACACGCTGCACGCCAACTTTGCCGACGTCAAGGTAAGTAAGTATGTCCCTGGCAGCTGATCTAGGGTTGTGTATGAACCAACGCGTGGGTGTGGGCTTGGAGCGCGTACTGCAAGAGTTCTTGGTGGCCAACGCCTTCGCGCTCACGCGGCGTACGCTGTGTGAATGTGTTCATAGCAGCTGACTATTGTTGTGTGTGAACCAGCGCATTGGTCCGGGCTTGGAGCGCGTATTACAAGAGTTCCTGATAGCCGGCGCCTTTGCGCTTACGCGGCGCACGCTGCCCGCGTCCGCGCTGCCACTCATGCGCATGCTGCCTTACACGCTGCACGCCAACCTTGCCGACGTCAAGGTTTGTTACTGTGCGACTGTGTTCCTAGCAGCTGACTAGGGTTGTGTGTGAACCAACGCGTGGGTCCGGGCTTGGAGCGCGTGTTACAAGAGTTCCTTGTAGCCGGTGCCTTCGCGCTCACGCGGCGCACGCTGCCCGCGTCTGCGCTGCCGCTCATGCGCATGCTGCCTTACACGCTGCACGCCAACTTCGCCGACGTCAAGGTTTGTTACTGTGTGACTGAGTTCCGCAGCTGATTTAGGGTTGTGTGTAAACCAGAGCATTAGTCTGGGCATGAAGCGTTTGCTACAAGAGTTCTTGGTAGCCGGCGTCATCGCGTTCATGCTGCGCACGCTGCCCGCTAAGCTCGCTGACGTCAAGGTTATCTATGTTTACTTATTCCTCTGGAAATTCGCCATTTGCCACTGTCTCGTCATCTATTCTCTACTTACATAGATAAATTAACGGACGATTGGGTACAAAATCTTAAAGTGTTGAATCATCTAAAAGATCTCATTTTGTTGACCATCAGTGTTGTGTTGTGGAGCCATCCACACGTTAGCCCCAATGTTGAACCCAACATTCCTCGTCTAGCATGTAAATCTAGAAAATAGCTTATCATAACGTTGGAGCCAATACTACTAATTTCTAAATTCACACATAGGACAAATGGGACCAACGTTAGAGCCAACTTGTGATGCCGGCTTCAGAAGCAACAAAAACAAATGAAAATCATGTTTTTTTTACACTTCTTTAGGTTGGCAGCACTGTAGTGTCAGTGAGCCAAGAGAAGCTGTGGAGCGGCGCGGCCGTGGTGCTGGCTCCTCGACAGCGCGTGCTGCAGTTCGCGGAAGATGTTTGGACGCGCGTGTGGGCCGCGTTACATGCGCCGCCGCCGCCTCGTCTTGCGCCCGCGCAAGTGTTGGAGAAACTGCGTGTGAGCCTGCACTGCTACCAGGTCAGTGCGCCAAGCTAGATTGTAGGTTATGTAGAGGTTATAGATGCTACTTTACACTGTCAGTGAGTACGAGTATACTAAGGATGTGTGGATGCGCGTGTGGGCCGCGCTGCACGCACCGCCGCCGCCGCGCCTTGTGCTCGCGCTGGTTTTGGAGAAACTACGCGTGAGCCTGCACTGCTACCAGGTCAGTGCCAATAGTCTTAGTACTTCAAGCTATGTAGTTGTTATTCTACTTCACACTATTCGGAGAGTGTACGGAGGACGTCTGGACGCGCGTGTGGGCCGCGCCGCGCCTTGCGTCCGCACAAGTGCTGGAGAAACTGCGTGTGAGCCTGTACTGCTAGCAGGTCAGTGCTTCAAGCTAGATTGTAGCTTATGTAGAGGTTATAGATTCTACTTCACACTAGTCGAAAGACGTGTGGACGCGCGTGTGGGCCGCGTTACACGCGCCGCCGCCGCCGCGTCTTGCGCCCGCGCAAGTACTGGAGAAACTACGCGTGAGCCTGCATTGTTACCAGGTCAGTGCTGCGAGCTAAATGGTACTATATGTGGTTGTAATAGAAGCTACTTCACATTTCATTCTGGTCTTAAAAACTTAATTAATTTTAAATTACCTGTAAATTACGATTTTAGGTCGCATTGTAATTGAAAAAAGTAGTTTAATTGAGTTGAAAATAGTAACGTCACTTGCTCGTAGTGCCATACAAAATCTATGGGAGAGTTTCGTTTTGACAGTTTTAAAAAGTACGTCAATTGATTGGTGGTGTCAACATATTACTTGCAGCCAGAGGCGGTGTCCCGCTGCAGCACGCCGCTGTCGCCGAGCGGCGCGGGCGGCGCAATCGGCGCGGGCGCGGGCGGGTGGGCGCGGCGCGCGTCGGCGTCGGCGCAGGACCTGCTGCCGTTCTTCGAGCTGGATGTTTGCACTGCGAGTAGACAGGAGCACGTTATAGCCGCGGTGAGATTTGTTCTATTGTTGATTAGTTTTAATTAAGTCCAAAAACTGTTTTTATCTAGTGTACTTGACATGTTTCTTCATTTATCATAGGTGGGTAACTCAACCTCACCACTTAGTTTTCAGGCTTATCATTACCTTAAAAATTTAAATCACAAAATTTAACTCAACTCTCAAGGTATCTCGCGTAGCTTAGAATCTACGCGATCTAGGTGAGATCCACCTAGTGATTGACAGCGGTTGCGAGTAATGTTTAGAGCGGCGTGCACGCGGTGAATTAACGCTGAGCACGCACCTTGTCCTCGGCAACTAGCTGCCGACGATATTTAGTACGGCATGCAAGCAGTCATCGAGTGCGTGTAGCCACGTACGCATCTCGCGCATTAGTCCTTTGGATACGCAATCAATTATCGACCTTATTCCTCACGGCATAGAACCTGCGCGTAGAGAGATGCTTGCACGCTCCCTCATTAAATTGTCGACCTTATTCCTCGCGGCATAGAATCTTCGCTTGACGGCGGTTGCGTTTCCCATTCAGCTGCAATCAATTATGAACCTTATTCCTCGGGCATAGAACCTGCGCGAAGCAAGCGTGCACCTGATGCGGTCAGCGAGAGCGGGCGCGGGCGGCGTGGAGAGCGGCGTGCACGCTCTCTGATTACTGAGCCTTTAGCTGCAATCAATTATCACCCTTATTTCTCGTGGCATAGAGAGCGTTATACTGATGCGCTTTATGGCGATTGCGTTTAGCATTTAGCTGCAATCAATTATTATCAATCTTATTCTTTGGGCATAGAACCTGCGCGAGGTGAGCGTGCACCTGATGCGCTTGACGGCAGCCACGAGCAAGTTTAGAGCGGCGAGTGCACGCGGTGAACGAGCGTTGAGAACCTGCGCAACTGGACACATCTCGCGCAGTCCATGTTCAAACGTTCTATGTCTTACATGTGCATTCAATTATGAGCCTTATTCCTCGCGGCATAGAACCTGCACGGGGAGAGCGGCATACACGCTCTCTGATTAGCCTTTTTAGGAATCAATTATGAACCTTATTCTTTGCGGCATAGAAACTGCGCGTAGAGAGATGCTTGCACGCTCCCTCATTCCATTATCGATCTTATTCCTCGGGCATAGAACCTGCGCGAGGTGAGCGTGCACCTGATGCGCTTGACGGCAGCCACGAGCAAGTTTAGGGCGGCGCGTGCACGCGGTGAACGAGCGTTGAGAACCTGCGCAACTGGACACATCTCGCGCAGTCCATGTTCACACGCTCTATGTCTTAGCTATGCATTCAATTATCAACCTTATTCCTCGCGGCATAGAACCTGCACGGGGAGAGCGGCATACACGCTCTCTGATTAGCCTTTTTAGCTACAATCAATTATGAACCTTATTCCTCGGGCATAGAATCTTCGCGAAGTAAGCGTGCACCTGATGCGGTCCGCGGGCGCGGGCGCGGGCGGCGTGGAGAGCGGCGTGCACGCGGTGGCCACGCGCTGGGCGGCGGCGCAGCTGGACGCGTCGCGGTCGTTGTGTCGTGCCTTGTGCCGCGCGGTGGCAGCGACGCCGGCTTCCAACCAGCAGAGAGGATTCACTTTCATGTATAGATGACCCACGCTGAACTGTCCCACCAAACTCAATGACAGGGGGGCGTTACCATCGTTCAACTATATGGTTTCCAACATGGCAAAAATCGGAACCAGCGTTCCGGTTTTGACGGTGGCGCCCCACTGTCAATGTCATGCATAGGACAGTTCAGTATTTTGGAACTATACTTATTGCGTAGTATGGGGTTGGCAACGTAAAACTCTCACTCAAAACTCATTTTATTTCTTCTTCTTCTTCTTTTGTTCATGGCGATGAACTTGTGCCTTTTCGCCACTGTTCCGCCAATGTCACGTGAATTTTTATTTTTGCAAGTAGGCTTTACAGCACTTACACGGGCCCAGTATTAACCCTACCACTGCTTCGGGACAATAAATGGGCCTGTGCGGAGAAGAAGTAACCTTTACACGTCGCAAATATAGCTTGCCATACCACCAATTCGGGACAATATATCGGCTAGCCTAGCCTATAAGTGGTAGAAAAAAAAACCTCCTTTGTTAGCTTAAGCAACAGTAAATCTATTTATGAAGTTATCGCCACTATTGCTGCATATTCTTAACGTTTAAAATGTGAACTGCTGCTGGGATCAAACTTTTTTCTTAAAAACATTCTTTCAAGGAACTTGAAAACAAGGGCCAATAACAAGTCCTTCAGAAAACAAAATTAAAGTTTTTGAAATATTCAAAAATTTTTAAAATAAATATAAATACGTTGCCAACCTCTTGACTACGTTTAGGGCTAGTGTTTGGTCGCTTCTTGTGTCGTGGTTTTATTTTCGTTTTGTTTGGTTTTAGCTGTTGGTGTTTTACTATGGGTTTCAGTTGTTATTGGTTTATTTGCAGATTTTGTCTCGTTTTGGTTTTTGTGTTTGGGCTTTTTACACGCAGATATTCTTTCATATCTACACGCATTTTTACAATACTTTTTGGAGGTTTTTGTTTTAATTTTTGCACCGATTACATTCTCATATCTACATTTCTAAGATAATGTCAAAGTCAGCTCTGCCATTTACTTTAGTGTATATTTTTAACGTAATTGGGCTAAATGGTTGACACTGGCATTCCATCTCACTCCCACAAATAATGGTTTAATCACAGCTTACGGTTTGGGGGTACTATATCGAAATCTCATTAAACTTCATAAATTTTGAGACAGACACTCGAAAATTACTTAATGGCTTTGGTAAAGAAAACGTTTTACCCGTAATTTTCAACAGAAAAAGTTAAAAGCCTATAAGCACGTAAATCAAAGATCGTTGTTATAAGTGACACTTTTTAAATCGAAGCTTCATCAAGATTAATTCACTTGAAAATGATTTCGCAAACCAATTTCTTTCTCAGTCTGATCGAGCAAGATAGATTCGTTATAACCGTACCTTACGACTTGACGAAAGCGATGCTTTTTTTTGCTGTCTGTGAATTCCCCAAATTAAATACCCCATAAGGTTAATTTAAGGACAAAACCTCCAAATCGAGGAGGCCTCTAAGAATTAGTTTAACTTATCAATTACACCTCTCCATTCCAGTGACGAGATGGAACCGAGCCACGCGTTCATAGTGTTCAAAGTGCTCGAGCAGTACTATTTGGCAGCTGACTCGCTAGCCTTCCCGCTGCCGCAGGGCTTCAGTTCCTTCTTCACGTACCTGGGCTACCGCACGCTGCCCTTCCACGCGTTCGTTATGTACGTGCATCGGAACGTGTTCGAGCTGCAGATTGACGTCATGAAGGCTATTATTGCTTGTGAGTACTTGCTGATTTTGATTAATACTTTTTTTTTTTGCTTGCGTTTAGGTCATGGATCAGCGAATTAGAACTTTTTAAGCTTCTCATTTGTTACGTTACGTTTTGTTACGTAAGTGTGAGGTGGGACACAGACAGGCATGTTGGACGAGGGACTATTAGCCGTGCTATTAGATAATTGGGTCGATTATTGTCTCTGCTCGGAATTTATAACTCGAACTGATTTAGTGTTTATCTTGGTGTCACGTTTATGGTCTGACTTCGGAGGGTCGTCAAATAGATTCTATTTCGTTCTTGTTCAATATTCCGGATCCTAATTCTATGTCGAATTATAAACCAAAAGGGGGTTCAGGAAATATGGTCATTCTTAACTGCGAGAGCACAGCCCTATCTAATTTACCAGAGACAAATGAATGGATTTGTCCTACACTCTTCACGTAAGCTATAAGGGGTGGGATGGCTTATCTATTTCAGATTAAACATAAGGTCTAGTATACGCTAAATTTATTACTGATTGAATTTCTACGTGATGTCGTCGGTTCACCTTGTGAGTGGTCGTCTCACGCTGTGTTTTCCGGTACGCGGCTTCCACTCCAGAACCTTGCTGCCCCATCGGCCGTCAGTTTTGAGTACTATGTGCCCTGCCCATTGCCACTTGAGCTTGCTAATCCGTCGGACTATGTTAGCGACTTTAGTTCGCTTACGGCGTTGGACGCAGGCCGCTACCAACCGGGCAACATGGAAAGCATTGGGGGAGGCCTATGTTCAGCAGTGGGCGTCCTATGGCTGAGATGATGATGATGAATTTCTACGGTTTTTTCTACGGTGCTAAAGCTATATCTTTTGTCTCTATTCCAGCCAAAGACGACGACAGCAAAAACTCCGTGAACAACAAGCTGCGTCTAGTGCAGTTAGCGGGCGAGGGCCGCGCGCGCCGCGCTCTCGGCGCGTGGCCTCATCGCGCTGCCCTCGTGTTACGCGCAAGGGACCATGCCGCTACGTTGCTTAGTGGAGGAGCACCCGCTGCGAGGGATCCTGCGCGTGTGAGGCAGGCTGCGCACACTGGTTAGTACACCTAGCGTATTTATAGATATAGACGTTACGTGTAATTATTTTCAGCCAAAGATGACGAGAACAAGCTATGTTTAGTACAGTTGGCCGGCGAGGGTTGCGTACTCGGCGTATGGCCTCATCGCGCTGCCCTCGTGTTACGCGCGCGAGACCATGCCGCCACGCTGCTTAGTGGAGGAGCGCCCGCTGCGAGGGACCCTGCGCGTGCGAGGCAGGCCGCTCATACTGGTTAGTACACTTGGCGGTTTTGTAGACGTATCGGGTCCTTTCTAGCTAAAGAAGACAGAACTCCGTGAACAACAAGCTGCGTCTAGTGCAGTTGGCAGGCGAGGGCCGCGCGCGCCGCCCTCGTGTTACGCGCAAGGGACCATGCCGCTACGCTGCTTAGTGGAGGAGCACCCGCAGCTAGAGACCCTGCGCGTGCGAGACAGGCTGCTCACACCGATTAGTACATAGAAAGAACAAACGGTATGATTATAGACGTAACGCTTGTTACGTATAGTGCAGCTGCGAGCTTTCGGCGCCTGGTCGCACCGCGCTGCCCTCGTGTTACGCGCAAGAGACCATGCCGCCACGTTGCTTAGTGGAGGAGCACCTGCTGCCAGGGACCCTGCGCGTGCGAGGCAGGCTGCGCACACAGGTCAGTACATCTGGCATGTTTATAGACGTAGCGGGTGAACAGTCTTGTTCAGCCAAAGATGGCGAAAATAAGCTACGTCTAATACCGTTGACCGGCGAGGGTTGAGTACTTGGCGCTTAGCCTCATCGCGCTGCCCTCGTGTTACGCGCGCGAGACCATGCCGCTACGTTGCTTAGTGGAGGAGCGCCCGCTGCGAGGGATCCTGCGCGTGCGAGACAAGCCGCTCATACCGGTTAGTATTCGAGTAAATATCGTATGTACAAATGTAGTGCTTGTTACTTTTAGACTGAAGACTGCAAACCCTTGAAAAGGAGGCTGACAATAGTGACTGAGTTTCTTGCGCTGCTTCTTCTCAGCACTGGCCCATTTATTGTCCCGAAGCAGTGGTAAGGTTAATATTGGGACGTGTAAAAGTGCTTTTTAAAAGCCTATTTGCAAAAATAAATGAGTTTTATAAGTTGGCGGGCAAGGACCGCGAAGGCCGCGCGCGCCTCTCGCTAGGCGCAAGGCCGCACGCCGCCACGCTGCTTAGTGGACCCTGCGCGTGCAAGGTAGGCTGCTGAACAGTTTTTCTTAGCCATTGACGACGATAACAACAAGCTACGTCTAGTATAGTTAGCCGGCGAGGGTTGAGTACTCGGCGCGTGGTCGCATCGCGCCGCGTTAGTACTGCGTGCGCGAGATCACGCCGCCACGCTGCTTAGTGGAGGAGCACCCGCAGCTATAGACCCTGTGTCCTTTCTAGCCAAAGAAGACAGAACTCCGTGAACAACAAGCTGCGCCTAGTGCAGTTGGCAGGCGAGGGCCGCGTCACACAGGTTAGTACACCTAGCGTATTTATAGACGTTACGTGTAATTATTTTCAGCCAAAGATGACAACAAGCTACGTCTAGTATAGTTAGCCGGCGAGGGTTGAGTACTCGGCGCCTGGCCGCATCGCGCCGCTTTAGTACTGCGCGCGCGAGACCATGCCGCTACCTTGCTTAGTGGAGGAGCGCCCGCAGCTAGAGACCCTGCGCGTGCGAGGCAGGCTGCGCACACCGGTTAGTACACTTGGTGTTTTCTTAGACTTAGCGAGTGAACAGTGAAGACGATAACAACAAGCTACGTCTAGTATGGTTAGCCGGCGAGTGTTGAGTACTTGGCGCTTGTACTGCGCGCGCGAGACCATGTCCGCTACGTTGCTTAGTGGAGCAGCTAGAGACCCTGCTCGTGCGAGGCAGGCTGCGCACACAGGTCAGTGTTAGAACTAATAAACGGCGTATTCAAATACGAGGCGATTGTTACGTCTAGTGTAGTTGGCGCGCGACCACGCCGCTACGTTGCTGAGTGGCAGCTTCTAGGTATACCTCATACACTGGTCAGTACACCCACCATTTATGTATGATTTATTTATGATGTAGCTTGTGAACAACAGTCTTACTCCAAAGTTTCCACAACGACCAGTCCTTCGCTACCTGCCTGCGTTCCTGCGACGTTCACCAGACTGTCAGTCCACCTAGTGGGAGGCCTGCCCACAATTTTTTTTCTGGTCCGTGATCACCTTTCCGAGGACTTTTCTGCCCTAACCGCCATCGATTCTACGAGCTTTAGTGCCCCGCTCACTGCCACTGGTGACTGGTCAGACATATTGAGACATTGTGGTGTGCGGACGTAAAGATTTTTGAACGAAATCAGTTTTAAAATAGTAATAGTAAAAAAATACTATCATGTTGAGTAAAACGTAATGTTTTATTTTCAGGAATAGCAGCACTGCCGTCTGGCGAGCGTTTGTCACCGCTTGACACATTCCTCGACCTACTGACAGCCAAAGCGAGCCTCAATGAACTGGACTTCAACCTCATCATCGAGGCGACTCTAGCGCTGGTCCAACAGGAAACCGCTGCATGAAGAATCTATAGCATTCCATAATAATCTCCACTCTTGCCATATCTTAAAACATTCCAGTACAATTACGTCGTAGGATTTTTGTGAAGTTTATACCAAAACGTTATTTATTCATTTTATGTACTTAATTAGGATAATAGCGTAGGATTTAGTGATTGAGGGGAATATTTCAAATGCATGCCAAAATAAAGATGCCACGGCGCAGTTACTTATAGCTATCCAATCCTTCATTTCAGTGTTATTAGTAGCTAAGGTGTAGTGAAACCTGGCTATGCAGGATTTGTAGTANCATTTCAGTTTTATTAGTAGCTAAGGTGTAGTGAAACCTGGCTATGCAGGATTTGTAGTAATGGTCATATTTTTGCTAAGTAGGAATACCTTGGTGGATTGTTTATTTATAGATTTTGATAGGCTAGATGCAGCGTATTTAAATGTGACTGGCTGCCAAAGTTCTAGCGATGTATTACAAATCCCATAGTATTACAATAACTTTGTGATAAGCTAGTATTTTTGTTAGTACATATTTCAGACATTCCATATTATTTTAATTTATTATCATGTGATTTATAAACTTAGTGACCTGATTTTGTTCATTGTTCATCAAACCAAAGAGCACAAATTTTGTTTTTACAATTGGACTTAAAAGGTGTTTAACATTGTGTGCAATATTTCATAGTGCAATTTTTGTGTTGTAGTTACTTGTGCAATAAAAATGAAACTAAAGTAACATTATTATGTTTTATTTATTTGTAAACCAATAAAATTATCTAGACAATAATAATTATCTAAGAGTTTCCCCTAGTAGTTGAGCTAGATCAAAATTTTAGATTTTTTAAATTATTATTGGCACAGGTGCCAATATCTACCTTAATTATTGTGTCTAAATCAACATACAAGGGTAAGATACATAAGTGTATTATAGAGTTGCCGCGAATAGTGGTTATAGCGAATAGTCGAATACCGATTAATCGCCATTCACTTTGGCGAATAGTCGAATAACTCGACATTACTATTCGACATAAAAACATTAAAATTATTTCTAATTTATAATAAATAAGGTTGTGATAAAAGAAAACAATAAAGTTAAAGAAATCTGTTTCATGTTATACATACCTACATAATATGTAGTAAATTTTGGACATGTTTTAAAGAATCATCTATTGAGCAACCTACTGAAGAGCACCCCAAGAATGCCACTGCTGAAGAAATCGCCCACTACATCGCATTAGCAAAGGCTAACAGAAAAATAAACCCATATGAATGGTGGACTTTGATTACCAATAAGAATAGATTTCCTATATTAGGTAAGTAAGCTTGCTAAACGATACTTAATCACACCAGCAAGCTCTGTTTATTCAGAAAGAATATTTTCCGAGGCAGGTTTAATTTACGAGGAAAAACCAAACCGACTTGCTGCCGAACGTGCAGAAAAAAATATTTTTTTGCACCACAATCTGCCTCTGTTGGATTTTAAATATTAATTAAAAAGCCTAACTTAATTTCATGAATATGATAGGCACAGGTACATATTACAAATAATAATTGATATTGTGTATTGTTTTATTAGGGAAAATAATAAAAATATTATTATTTTTAACTCATTAGTTTTTTTGTTCACGAAAAGTTTATTTTAGACGACTATTCGCCGAATGCCGAATAATACTAGCTACCATTCGGTATTCGACGAATATCAAAAAAATGTCGAGTAATGCCGAATACCGAATAATAGCGATTATTCGCGGCAACTGTAGTGTATTATGCCCGTTTTCACCATCAATCCCTAATTTTTAAGTGAACCCTATGGTAACAAATAACAGGAATTTTGTTGTCACAGGAGTCACTTAAAAATAAGGGATTGATGGTGAAAACGGGCATTAATCTAAATAATAATGAGTGTATCAATTGTAAAATGGATTATAAGTAACCCAGTGAGCCCTCTGCTGCTCCTGATCTGTTTTGTGAGAAGTAAACAGAGACTTGTACACCTCACTTGACTGTGGGTCCTTTGCTATACTGTATGTTTTCTTAGTCTTTTTATATGAAGGGTCTTCCACAAGCTCCGTTGGATGTGCCCTTTTGCTTGACCCAAAGTGTCCCCGAGCTATCTTATTGGGATTATATTTTGGTAATGACAGTGGGATTGTATCAACCATTTCTTTTTTAGTTGCCTGGCTTGGTCCAGCTTGTGGTTCTTCTTTTACTTCATTTTCATTTTTTATGCTGGCATCGACTGAGGTAGATGAACTATCAGTGGTTGATGTGACAGTAGATGTCGATGGTTCAACTTTAATTTCAACTTTGCCTGCCTTGGACTTTTTACTGCTCTTTCGGTTGGCAACACGCACAGCCATCTTTTCTTTGTGTTTTTCGATGTCATCTTCTGTTCCGTTAAGTACTACAATGTCGTTGTCAGTGAAAGGTTGTTGACACTGAAAGTATGAAGTAATAAAAGTGTTAATTTCTCATTTTATTATTGGAGTATTGACCATTCATTATCCTGATAACAATAAGCAAAGTTAAATTGTACTATCTTGTTTTGAACTTAATACATTTGCATAATGGCTTTAACATTTAGAATGAAAATTTATTTATTTATTTATTTATTTAAGGCTCACAAAACAAGTTACAGTCATATTCAGGCACAGATAATATTCCATAGATTAATCTAAACCGCAACTCTAAACATGTGTGCACAGAATGAATTGAAAATGATGAAATAAAGAGGGTAAGTAGTGTTTAACTTATTTTATGCTTAGTATTTAATGTTAAAGTAAGTCTTACCATATGACAGATATTCTGCTTGACCTCCTTCAAAGCCCTCTCAGCCAAGACACAGCCACAGCTCCACAGGAACACGAAGCGGAATTTGCCCGTCATCTCAAGTCCACTGATCGGACAGATGTAGGGTGCGCTGCCATCTCCAACAGTGCCTTCAGTGTGTTCTGTTGCTACGTATGCTGGGTTTTTTACCAGCTGTAGGTCTTTGATATCCTGGAAATACAATGAACTTTTAGCGNTTTTAGGGTTGCTCAATTTACACCAATAATAAAACACATGTTCAATGAATAATTATGTGGGATTATTGGTTGGCATCACCTAGTTTGTCGAATGTCTGAAAATGATACTTGTATTATAAGTATGGGCAAACAAAAAAGAATAGCTTACCTTGAGATTTTTAATGTGATTGATAGATTCAGGTTTCGTCTCTTTGTCCAATAGGGCTTCAAGTACAGAGCTTTTACTGTAAAGCCTTCCCAGTCCACAGGCGACTATTGGCTCCTGCAGAGGCTGCTGCGACAACGCACAGTTGCGCCACTTGAATGAGCGTTCTGCATCTTTGTCTTTCTACAAATGAAAAAGATTAGGGTAATAAGATTCGTGGTCATATTCGTGGTATTATTGGGAAACAAGAGACTATGAAATATTTACTTACTTGTTCAGGCTTCTTTTTCATACGAACGAGTTCGTCTCTCCGAGGTATAGTACCACCATCGCAACCCATTTTTAAACTAGATTGATTATGAAATAAAGTAATTAATGTATATTATTATAATTCCTTTTTACAAAACACAGACGACACTCAATGCAACAATATGCGATTGTTTGTGAGTGACGTCATCGATGATCGATCGACTGTCAATGTCATTCATGTGTCAAATTTTGAAGTTTGCCATACTTTTTAAATAATAATTTACGGCTTTGGACAAAGGCTATTTTACCATTTCTTTGTTGAATATGGTTGCGCAACTTGCGCAGCGTAAGTTGAGGTGAACACATACCGTCCGAGAACCGGCATATGAAAGACTACGCAAGACATTAGTGCGTTGAGCATATTTTATACAGAAACCTACAGAAACAAATGTTTGCTTGTGATAATCGCCTCAATTCTTGCTGCACGACCTCTATCTAACACGACCTAAGTATATTGTTGCAAAGAGTTTCGGCCAATCGGAGGTAAACGTCACAGTGCAGTGTGATTCTTCGGATTCTCTCAAGTAGTCCACATGAAGTCTCATTAAAGCACCACAATCCCACTTGGTCTCATTTTGTAACTCGTCTCACTTGGCACAAATCAAGTTGGTCTCGACGTGTATTGCCAACATCAAAAAAGAAGAAAGGTCAAATAGACGACGTCAACAACGTCAAAGCAGTGTTGCCAGAAGGTTACTTTTGTAACCTTTTTGGTTACTTTTGAACTGCTGTGGTTACTTTTAGGTTACACTAATGAAAAGGTAACTTTTAGGTGATTTTTCAGAAATTGTAGAATTAACTTGACAGGTTATTCAGTAAAAAATATTAATAGTGACAATTTAAAAATTATGTCATAAAGTGCATTTAAACTTGAATTTTATTTATTATTTGTTAAGAAAAATGAGTTTTAGCGAATGTTTTTCGATAATAAAACGCAAATCCATGAAACGTTTTTATACAACTGGTCACTTTTCGTATTTAGATGATCAATTGTATTCATTTTCCATCCATGAACAACCTTTTACACAATCATCGCTCAGCACAGCACCCCCCCCCCCGTATAAAGGTTACTTTTTGTTCAAAAAGGTTACTTTTTTTTATATTTCTGGTAATTTCTGACTAGACCCGACTGGCAACACTGCGTCAAAGTCAAAAATTGTCAACAAAGCCACATGATTTTATTCTGGATTAAATCTTTTAAAATTATAATCTAAAAACTTCACATAAAACCTTTAATTAGGAAGATATTTAAATAATGTCTCCTGCCTCACGGGAAGAGATGGAAAGGGTGCCTGAAAATGGATCCGATTGTGGCACGAGAGACAGTATATCGGACTCAGAAAATGTGGTAAAGCAGAAGAAATTAAGAAAGAAAGGCATTATTTATTTATCTACCATCCCTCCCTATATGAATGTTGCTAAGATTCGCGAGATATTTGGACAGTTTGGTGATGTGGGAAGAATCTATCTTCAACCAAGTGGCAGTAAGTATTTTGAGGTTATCTTGATATGGTTGCAATGATTCTAAAATGATAATAATGCCGTTTTATTTTTTTTAGAGCCAGGGGAGAAACGTAAGCGTGTTCCTAACCAGTTCACAGAAGGTTGGGTGGAGTTTCAAAGGAAGAAAGTGGCCAAAGAGGTTGCAACAAAGTTGAACAACACAAAAATTGGGAGCAGGAAAAAGTCCCGGTACTATGACATGATATGGAACATCAAGTACATTCCAAGGTTCAAGTGGATACACTTGAGTGAGAGGTTGGCCTATGAAAGAGCTGCCTACAAACAGAGGTTGCGTGCTGAGATCTCTCAGGCTAAGAAGGAGGCACACTACTTGCAGACTAATGTTGAGAAAAGCAAGAAGATGAAAAAGAGAAAAGCTCTTGAAGAATAATACTAGTTTTATGTTTTAATAAATAGGATTTAAAAAAATATGAATGTTTCCTTTATTCAGAATTAATTTTTAGTGAGTTAAAGAATAGGCTAGAGAAATAAATTTTATTTCCAAATCTGATTAATATCATATGAGGAGCTAAATCAACTACTGAAATGCTTTATTTACCACATGAATCAAAAGGCTCCTTATTTTTCACTAAAGTTAACTCTGCCACTTATTATTTCTTCCACTCTCATTCTTTCATGGGAGTTCAGAGGGTCTGGTGTTAACTTCTGTATGTATCGCCTTGGAGGTATTTTGTGCGAGAGGATGCCCTGCGAGAACTCCCGGTGCACCCTCACTCCGTCCAGTGCGTTTGGCTGGAGTTTCTCAAAGCTGTGCAGCTCCCTCATGAATTGCTTGCGTTGGGCTACGCTAGCCCAATGATAACGATGGCGACAAACCACGCGGCTAAAAACAATCTCCTTTTCAGACCTTTTATTGCATTTAGGATATACAAATTGTAATCAATAATTTATGGATTTGCATACTAGTTTTAAATACAACTTGTTTTGGTTACATGACACTTACTATGCTAATGCCAATTTGGAATATGATGGGTAGATGCTGACATCAGATCTGGCCAGCTCAGGGAAGCCAGGGTACAGTGGCACCCTTCGTTTCTTTTCCTCTGGAGGAGGCAAAGCCATTTTTATATTTGTTATTATTTTTGAAGACCAGTGGTGCAGAAATGCCAAGTTATTTCAATGCCATTATGGTTACTATGGAAACAAACAACATAAAGTAAGAACAGATAATAAATGCTCAATGTATCAAAAAGATCTCTCCACATTTTAGGCTATGAACATAACAGATTTGCTTTTACATTTTCATATTTTCAGAGAACAAAATTAAAACACAACTTTAAATTAACAGTTTATTCATACAGTTTTAATAATATTAAATCTACATCCAGAGCCAACCATTCCAGAAATTCCGATATTTGACAGCTATTATTGCAAGAAGTCTCAGTAGACCATTATTTACACGACTCTACGCTCAGGAGGATGCAGTAACAGCAGCGACGCGACTTTTGCAGACACAGTCATTGAATTCATTCACTAGCACTGAACATGAGAGCGACTTATTGGGATTTGTACTGTAGCACTCAAGAACCTGGAAAAAACAAAGGTATTATGAGTAAATGCCTTCATTATGCTCTCAGTTGAGGGTTTTGTTAAGCTGTAATAACTGTACTGGATTTAAATTCTAAATATTACTTTAGTGGCAGTTCTAATATTAGATGTAAAAATTTTACCTTAGCTTTCTCTTCCTGACAAGGTGGTAATTTAGTGGCAACTTTGTCAGACTGTGTTAGCTCAAATAGCTCATTGGCTTCTTTCAATGTTTTTTGATATTCTAAAAGCATGCCAGAGTTGATCTTTTCGTGTGCCCGTTTTAAGTTCTCAATGCGCCGGGCCCAGTAGGCCTCCTCGGATGCATAGTCGGCTTGTCGTCGTTGATCGTACGAAGGAGGCGGAGCGTACTGAGGTGGCGGTGCGTATTGAGGCGGCGGCTGCGCTGGTTCAGATTGCTATAAAAAAACATGTGTCAGTAATATTTGTTTTTATTATGTAGGAGAATGTAGCATATTTGAAGGAGAATTTAAAGGTTTTCACTATGCTATTAGTACCTACTTGAAAGAGAAATAGCAATACACCCTAGATTTAACAAAACTAACCTACAATGCACAGGGCTCAAATCATCAATAAGATATTGCCAAACACAATTCAAATGGGCTGTATTGTTTGCAATAAAATTATTAATTAATAAAATGATGTCAAGCACTGTTATTCTTTATTTACTATCTCGTTCCGAGAGTTGACATTGATCTAAATTATGTAATGAAACATTTGTATTTACTTTTGCAGATAGTTGGGATTGTATCCGATCTAGCGCTTCTTGGGACACTTGTATAGCATTTTCATTATCCACAGTAACTTTTCTAGTGCTTTGAGAGCCACCCATGTTTATAAAAATGTGTTTCAAATAATGTTATCGGCAAAGCACCTCACGAAAATTCATTTTTTGACGTGTACGTCAACTTGTGACATTACAAAAAGAAATGTCATACGACGTTCTGCTCTATACTCTATGGTTACAATATTCTGAGGTTGGCAATTCCTTTTTTTTTTGGTAGGTTTTATCGTTTACCAATAGATGGCGGTATAGTCCAAAATCTTCATTTGAAGGTAGGAAGTAGGAACGACATCGATTTCTGTTTTCTCTTCTCAATAAAATTGTGCTTGCTCGTTTCGTTGAAACAGAATTGTTCTTCTCTTATTTTACTGCTGGTTATGACTAACATTGGTTGACTGATAATAATTCTGAGGTTTTCAGGATACGGCACAGCTATGGTTTCGTTCCATTTATTTGTAACTTCCATTAGTCACATTATACGGTGACTCCTAGTATCCATGCTTTTGCTAGTAGGATTTAAATCTTAGTTTCGGTTTACTCGCTATTTAGAGATAGACGGCAAAAGCGTTAGTAAGTTATCCTGCCGATACGATGAACATAAATATTGTTGTGTACAAAATCTTAAAATTTGTTTTAAATATTTGCTGACCTTATTAACTCCTGTGTAGGTTTCGATGTAGGTGTAGGTAACATAGTATGTTTCAATAAGCTCCAAATATTCGGTACGTAAAGATATGCCCCCGAATTACTTGGGGTACTCAACATTTAGGCGTTCAACTGCTATTAAATTCATTTGGTGTTATTTAATTCCCACATTTATGGCTTTCGAATTAAGAGCGCAGGAGTTTATGCGTGTTACAGCGGAGGCTGTGCTGTGGGTATGGCAAGATTTTATCCCTTACGGTTTTGGTTATAAGGGTGATTAAGGCTTGTCGGTGGAGAGTACAAAAACTGACCACAATTGGGTTTAGCATAACCGGTCGGGGCAGTCGGCCGCCGCCGCTATCATCCCGCGCCTGCGCACTTTCTTCTGTCTGATCGGCGCGCGATCCGGCTCGACAGCACACTCAACATTATTTTAGTCCACAGCCTCAATTTTATTTGAAAACATGTTTCAAAAGATGCAATTTCCTTCAACTTTGACTTTTCCTTATGACTTTTTCGCAGAAAGTTGCGAAAAGAAAGCACCTAAGCGTAGAAGCAAACCATTACTAAGCATGTAATACCTAAATAAGTTAACTAGGTAGAATCTCTCAACAGATTATCTAATTAGTGCTAAAACTATCATAATTTAGATTTAGGTACTAATTGCTTGTCCAAATATTAAATTAAATTAGGTACTTACACATAATGCTGAAGGAAACAGATAGGTAGCTAGGTACTCGTAGTTAGTTGAGTACCTACTTAATTTAAAATCAGCTCTATTTGAACGGATAAGCTGTAATAAAATTATTAATACTATTATAAGAGTAAATAAATAGATTGACTTGTACTCGGCAGCATGTGAACAAGTGCCACAGTTGTAGAGCGTCATTTAATGCACGATATAGAGTTCATCATCATCATCATCATTTCAGCCATAGGACGTCCACTGCTGAACATAGGCCTCCCCTAATGATTTCCACAAAAGCTAGTTGATAGCGGCGGCCAGCGTCTTCCTGCTACCTTTATGAGGTCGCTCGTCGGTCCACCTCGGTCGGTGGACGTCCTACGTAGAGTTTTCAAACCACAAATACCTACAAATTCAAAATTCAAATTATTTATTCAGTACATAGGCCCTATTTTAGGGCACTTATACACGTCCCAAATATAGCTTGCTCTACCACCACTACGGGACAACATATGGCTGGTGCTGAGAAGAAGTTGCGGAAGAAACTCAGTCTCCTTTACAGAAGGTTTGTGATAGAACGTCGAATGATAAAGAATCGAGCGATTAAGGAACTGATCTAACTAAAAATCTTCATTTGTTTTATCAAAACTTGTTGCTTTTTGCGTCTTGCGTCTTCGCGAGCCGGATCGCGACGCGGTCCACGCAGCCAGCGTATGCGCCTTACGACTACATTCGATACCAAACTCGATACCGCCGCCAAATTGAACTCAATCGAATGGAACTCGTTATCGTCTACCACGGAACTGGCCTTTTAATTATTGCCCTCAAATATCGTAACTTTGTCGCCTTGGCACCTATTTATGACGAACTGTGTCGTATTAAAAGATACAACATTAGAATTTATTTCATTTTTATTTTTACCTTAACACTTTATTTGACATTAATTTCTTTGTGCTCGAGATTTAGATGAGCAAGTTAGAGTTGAATTCATGTTATTGAATAGTGTAAGTAATTTTATTTTTACTAGATAATTCAGATATAGGCAAATGTTTGTATCGTGGCTATTTAACTGACAAACTCTACCAGTTGGGAATCAAAGTTCAAAAGCATTTGATCATTTTATGCTAAGAAATCTTAGCGTAATTACTACTTTACATACGTGAATGACTTGAGATTTTCATGTTAAGTGCAAAGAGAATATTAATTAACGCTCGTGTGAAGTGTTTCTTTTATACTGGACATCTCTACGTACATAATCAGCCTGTATTTTATCATCTGATTTGCATAGTTATTGCATAGCATTAACTAAGATATCCCACTTGACATCAAGTTACTATTTCGACTTATTTTAGCATTAACGAGGTCGGTCCAAATTTGAGTTCTGTAATTTAATGCTTTTATGCTATGTAATAGTATGTATGGAAATAAGTAGATGCCTTATTTATTAAGTTGTTTCTCTTAACTTCGACTCTGAGCGTTCAAGTTCTCCACGTTGCGTTGACTGCCAAAATCTTTCGAGAATAAACTTAACGAATGGTTTTGTATTTCTTACATACTATCACAAGTAAAAATTTAATAATATACCTGTATATAAGGTAAAAAAAACGTGTTAAGCTGAATGTAGAGCCCACTTCGTCTAGTAAAATGCTGAGCCATGTCAACCACCTTCGTTCTCCTTTGAATCTTATTATACCTCCTCATAAATATCATGTATCAAAATCATTTTGCGGAGTAGAATCTCAGGTAATAACCGGGGTTGTTATAAAATTAATAGTTGATAATTTCCCGCGTCGCGGAGACGCGGCGTGACAAGCGCTCGCGCAGGATATTCAGCATAATTGCGATTTATGCAGCAACGCGTTTATGATGTCTGTGCGAGCGCAGCTTGAGTAATGCGATCAGCGGGACCAGATTGATAAGCATTCTTGGTGATGTCAAAGGGCTGGATTTGTTCGGATGTAAGTCACGGGCCTGTTAGATCCTTCCATGATATTGCATTGAAATGCTTGATTTATAGCACTGACTCATGACTCAGATGTTTGCATAACAAGATTGTATTTATGGCTAAATAAAATAAATATTTATCATAACTTCTCGTATATAATTTTGTACGGCTTTATTTACATAGGTGCTTAGGTACGAATCTAGAAACGTAACTACATAATGTTGTGGTGTCAGGTAGTATGGTGTAGTATCATCATCCGTAACTTATTATTGTTATAGTTAGTTAGCAGTCCAGCTGTCTATCCGTTGAATCAAACATTCAAGTTTTATAATATAATGCGTTTATCTTATTGTGCGTTCGACTGACATCGAATAACAATCGATTTTCTACCTGCTTGCCCCGGGCTGTCAGTGGCCGAGTATTCTCACCCTCTATTCTTAAGGACTAATTTTTTAAATCACGTTTTCATCTCACAAAAATCAGCTTTAAGATGTTGTTCTAAAGTTTACTTTTGCTGGTTGGAGATATTTAATAGTTTTATTTGTCCAAAAATAA